TTGATATTTTGGTTTGAATGAGTACGATTGTAAGAAAATATTTACATTCGCATTCGTGCGGCAATTATATCGTAGAAAGTTTCCTAAGACGCTGCGCTTAAAAAAAGAAATTGAAAAAAATAAAACAGTCAAATTGAATGTCTCGGCCTTTTTTTGTCGATTGAAAAGGCGTTGGACACTCGTAGGGGCTTTCGCACCTCATTAGGATGCAAAAAAGCGAAGTTGTAATTTACCCAAATGCAATTAATTTTACGAAAACCAGATACAATTCTAAAGAAAAACTAACTAGAAAAAAAATCACGCGGACCAGGCAGCAGACGGGACTCGAACCCGCACCCTTCGCAATCCGGACGAATGTACTGACCAATTATGCTACCGCGGCCCTCACGGACCGCGTCGAAATTCCTCTAGCCATTCTTAAGCTGCAAGGCAGCGAAATTTCTTCGCATTATAGGTAATCCACAAAGTCAAATGAATATTTTTACAAGTATTAAACATTTGAAACGAATTGTGTCTGTTATATTTTTTATTTTTTAAAGCATGATGTTTAAACTGCTTGATGTTTAAATCTAAAGAATTAGACTCTTTAAATTTAAACATCAAGCAGTTACATGCTTTAAAAAATAAAAAAATATAACAGATACAATTCGTTTAAATCGCCACGAAAACATAGGGGACCAGCGTTATTGATTTGCGTTCTGTTGTAATCTTTGGTGATATAAGTGCCAGGCAAAGATGATCAAATTCAGATCGTAAATTGTATCCAGATGAATTACAAGGTCGCCTTTATATGAGCCTACCAGAACACCGCTGAATACACAACGCGCCCCTACGATGTAAGTTATATCCGGATGTAGGCTTATTTTGATATTAAATAATTATATTCAATCATTTGTAGTCAGGTAGTCAATAACAATCACAAGAAATGTTTGCCGTACCGGTGAAAAAGTTGCACCGATCCAACAATTTATTTATCAAATTATAACACGTAAAAACATACATTCAATCGAATCTAACATCTTTTTACTTTATCAATACAAAATAAACACATAACGATGTCGTACCCTTAAAACTAAAGTGTAAAAAAATATACCACATCGTAACGCACGTTTAACTTATCGTAATAAAACCACGACCTAAGCGAGTTTGCGCATTTAACTACTATACATAATATTACAGTTCATTGAAACAAGGGAATATCATAAATTATGCCGTCTCACAGTTCTTTATTTTTACAACATTCGCCATCATGCTAAACAGAGAAACACACTTTTGACGGAATGGAACTTGCAGCAAATATATTTTCTTTAAGTTATTTTTTTAGGATTTAATATCAATTAATCATGGAAACATGCACTGGTGTTGAGTATATTTTACAGTCTATGGAAAATTTATTTGAACAAATAAGTACGAGTGTCCTTTACAGACAGAACTAAATATACATTGATAATAACATGATACTTTAATATCATAAATATTAAAGCATGTCTATTTATACTAATGAATTGCTACCTTTGGTATGAAGCATAATTTATAATTAACATTTAACAACACTGACATGTGAAAATTACATCAACATTGATCGATAAACATTTATTTAGTTGATTAATTGATTTTATAGCATGCTAGTCATCTTTTTTGAGGTTGTCAATACAGTAAAACGATTCACTCGTCAATGAATAAAAAAATGATTACAGGATTGTTACCTAAAGAGAATTGATAATATCATTTGCACAATAATTTATCAGAGTTAATTATGTAAACATTAAAGTTTTCTTAGTGCACATATTTATATATCCTATAGTAAACAATCAGTTCGAACAATTTTCATGTCATATGGCTTTCCGCACACATTTATATTATTTCATCATGTTAGCCAGTGTTCTGTATACCGTCAATGCGAGATCCAGTACAGTTCCATTGTCCGTTTGACTGCATAATTTTTATGATAGGGCATATCGAAATCACTATGAACCACGTATCGTGCAGACGAATAATAACTTCACAACACACTCATTAGAGTCCACTTCACTTTAACAGTATAACGCTGCACGCTAATACCTACGCCCCGGTTAACACTGGCTATCAAGCATTTTTAGAGTTCATGTTGCGCCTCAAACATCACGACAATTAAATTACGTATTTAACGTACTTATACCGACCAATCAACAAATAATATTACTTTGAAGTAATACTCATACTACACAACCTCTACAGTTTAGTTCAGTGTATTTTTCTTCGCAATATCACCTATAGACCGTGTAAAAATTTAGCATGTCTAAACCCTATATTAGATGGATGACTCTTGTGTGTGAGAGTACAAATTAAGCGTGTATCAAATATTTAGCCAAGTAATAACTTGGATAAACCGCGAGTAGTTCCAGTAGACCTTTAGCGCATTCTTAGAGTCAATATAACTGACTCTGAATAGCAAACTTCAATTGATCTAGTGCATGATTTTGGGGTATCTTAGGTTACACGTCGTGGCGGTGAATGCATAAATACACGATATATAGTTACAAACAGAAATTGTATTTTTCAAACAAGCAATTCGAGTTCTTCGGTAGTAATTTTCTGTAAAAATCGCCTCTATGGCTTCATTACCGAAAATACAAAAAAATTGTAAAAAAATAAATTCATCTTATAGCTTCATGAACAATTACTGCGTAGCATAGATTGATCACGCTCAAGACTTAATAAAGTAATTTTCGTATTATAACGTTAACCAATTTTAGTCTTCCCTATTTCTCTTTCTATAGTAATACACAAATCACACATGCACAAGAGAATCATTTGTATAAATTTGATATGTATCTTAGAGATAGTAGTTAAACAATTTATTCGCAACACATAACTTTTGGACCACGACCTCAGTCTGCAACATGGACTGAGCAGTTCGCTAGTAAAACCAACCACATTGAGTATAGAGTTTCCAGCACAGGGCTCAAGCGAGATTCGCCAATAGCCTTTTTGGCCTTAACCGGACGGTTTTAAGTTTTAATGCCATCGAGTTGTTCGCTCGTTTGAGGTACTTTGCCTCGGTGAGCCGGGGCGAGGTTGTGAGTAGGTTCAGTGGTCGTATTTGAGTATGGAGTCGATGGAGAAGTCGGGGCGGCGTCGTTGCTCGATCATGATGAAGGTTTGTACGGTGCGTAGCGCGGGGTCCGCGTCGGAAGGGCCCTCCCCGGGGTTCATTTCCCCGCCCCCGCTGACGCTACCGCTTCCCGCCCCGCTCCCGCTTCCGCTAGCGACCCCGTACCCTCCCCCGCCCCCGCCGACCGGCTCCTTTCAGCTGGGCTTCTGTTGCACTTCTCGCATCATCAGCTGGGGACGTGGCTTCCAGTTAGTTTGCGAATCCTCATGATGACGCAGAAATGACACTAAGGCCCGTATTACAGAATGACAACTAAGTGTTGTTCTTTACTTGAGTACAATTAGAAAGGGATGTCGCTATGTGCTATATATAGCGATATCCCTTTCTAACTATGCTCAAAGACTAGATAATTTATTGAGAATCTTTCTATAATACGGGCCTAAATGTAGATAAATTGCTTAGCTTAGCTTTAGCTTAGCTTTCTATAGAACAATCGTCATTTAAGGATCACGCCGATATAGAAAGCTAAGCGGGGCAATTTATCTACATTTATTATCTTTTATGCGTCATCATGATGATTTTGCAAGGGAGTGCGGATGGGAATTCATAAGCATTGAAAATGAGAGAAGACCGTAAACTGCTATTTTATTTAATATTAAGTATCCCATTCAAAACTTCAGATTTTAAATGAACATTTAAACTAAGACAACTATTCAACGAAATAATAAATGATGAAACATTTTGAGCTGTAATTAGATCTAAATAGAGGGACCGTATATTTTCCTTTTTTTTGACAAAATATAAAGGAACGTTGTTTACTTCTCTGTGAAAGAGTTATTTATACCTATTTGGTAAATATTGGTATTACATATTTTTATTGCAAAAGTTGATTTGGATATTTTGTTATTGATTTTTTTTATTTTTCGCTAGACAGTTTTGATGAGTACATAATAGTAGGTGATTATAATTTTATGGCGGTTTTGAAGTCAGCAGCGAGATAGTTCAGTAATAACCCGCGCGCGTTTATACTTCCGTACATTTCGTTTACTGTATCGCTTCTTCTTCTTCTTCACAACCGCCATCATTTTCGAATCTCACTATTATACAACGTGTATCAGAAATAACGCACGCCCTGAAAGTAGTTGTCACAAATTAATAATTTTTATTTAATCAGTTTAATCAGTTTAACCAGTGATATCTCGATGTTAGTACAATTATTTGAGGTACCGTTGCATTTTAAAATAGCCCTTACTACCTTGCATTATGTATCATAAAATATTCTCGTTTAATAATGATTAAATATAAATATAATAGAATATAAATATTTCCAACACCACATCAATTAGCCTAGTCCCAAAGTTGACGATTCGGGTTTCATGGTGTCGCTAACTCAAGAGGTTCCGGGTTCGAATCCCGGTGGGGGCAGATGTTTGTGTGATGAATACGAGCATTTGTACCCCAGTCATGGATGTTTAATATGTAATTCTATATAAATATACATATATGTACAGTATATTTATTCTATCCGTTACCCGAGTATCCCACAACACAAGCCTTATAGTGCTTTACGGATAGAATACATATCCTGTACATTTATAAGTATATTTATTTAGAAATACATATTTAACATCCATGACTGTAGTATAAATGCTTGTATTCATCACACAAACATCTGCCCCCACCGGGATTCGAACCCGGGGCCTCTCGAGTCGGCGACACCATGAAACCCGGCGTACAAACCACTCGGCCACGGAGGTCGTCAAATTAAATTAATGTCAATAATTATTATTTTTGTAATTTTTATAGATTCTTTTTTTTTATCACAATGGATTCAGAAGCCAATCCCAACCTACTACTTTCGGGGTGTATGTTATGTAGGTATTTCTATTACACGTTGTATAGTTACCTGGTGTGGTCGGTCCGAAGTGATGGTCTCAGGGGCGCGTGGCGGAGCATTCGGGGCGCGTCCCTGGGCTCCGTTCTCGCGGGGGCAGCGCGTCGGCTCCGGCGGACCCGTCGTCACTAGTACCATACAAATAACGGTCTTAATGCGTTAACAACACTTTATAGACACTTGACGTTTATTATTTTATTTATTTATTTAACTTTATTGCCGAACATAAGCAAACGGCGGACTTAATGCCATAAGCATTCTCTACCAGTCAACCAGTATGAGTGTTGGAGACAAATAGTATGGCGATAGGACAAAGTTGCTAAAAATTTAATAAAATGTAACTTGCAGCCTAAAAAATACTAGAATACTAGCACAATTGGTCAGTGCATCCGCTCAGATAGAACAGGGAGCGGGGTCGAGTACCGTCTGCTGCCTAAACCGCGAATTTTTTTCTAGTAAAATTTTCTTTAGATAATTATGTAGGAGTTCAATGCTCAAATTAAAAGTAAAGTGCGCAGATGGCGCTACCTTGAAGCCTAAGAAATTCAACACGGTCATTAAGACCGCGGTAGCATAATTGGGCAGTGCATCCGCCCAGGTAGCGCGGGTTCAGGTCCCGTCTGCTGCCTGGAGCGTGGATTTTTTCTAGTAAAATTTTCTTTAGATATAAACATCTCGCAGTTAAATGCCTCAAAATTAAAATCTCATAAACTACTCACCAGTATTAAGCGGTATGGCCAGGCGAGCATTGACGGCCAGCAAGTGGTCGCGGCGCTGCAGCAAGTTGCCCACGTGGTCCTCTAACCGCACGTTCTCAGTGCGAAGTTGGTGTAAACATGACAGCAACGATGCAACTGCGTTCATATAGAGATAATTTTTCACATGAACGCATATTAATACCACACGAGTAAAAAGACGTACAGAGACAAAGCTTCATACAACCGCGCTGCAATCGTTCCACTACTACAAGTGCCAGAGCTCAATTGCAGGGCTCACGAAACACTCGCGTCGTATTTGTTTAAAAAGGTAAAATTACGTCCGCTCTATAGAAGCTTTGTCTCTATATTTACTACTCAAGTGTTAAAACTGGTGGACTATAATAGACATACGCCATCGCTACCTTCAGAATCCCGTTGTAAATCTAAGCCATCATGATTGATATTATTATTCAAGGTTTGATCACGACTAACTCGTCGTACTAAAGTACTCTGTCAGTCGTCACAAAAATATTTATTGCGGTGATCATGTTAGTGGGCCCACGCGAATGCACACAAATTTTCGATGGTGTGTCAAAAAAAAATCATAATAAGCAGTTGCGAGTGGACAAGTCTTAACTGCATAAAACAATATGCTTTCCATACAATCTTGCAACACCTAATTTAATTCCATACAAGTTTTGTACGCGCGATAAAATGTAGCTGTCCATGTACTTTTTAAGGTAGAGGACCTTATTACATTCATTAACATGTAGTCGAAAAATTAGGAAAAAACAATGTATTTATGTATTTCTCATATAGCAAGATCGAATTCTATTAAATGATTTTATAACACCACATTATAGAGCAACACGACCGACGCGGCAAGGAGGGGAGTAGCACTCGGAGCTTTCCTTTCTGCGATATTCACCCGCTGTTGGGTTTGCATTGGGCCAGCTCACGTAACAAAACTAGTTGCACTCGGATATTTCACTAGACTGAGTCAAGTCGCGCGAGTGTATGTTAGAGATCAAAAATGCCAAACTGATCTGTAATTTGCTGTAAAACATATCTGGAACACCAAATTTACAAAAGGATGGTGTTAAATTTCACATATAAGTAGAATTATGAACGTATTATTTCGATTTCACCACTTTTAAACACAAAAATCATATTATTTTGTTATAATTCAATCGTCGGTCTTGTTTGGCAAAGCAAAAAACTTGTCAGTACATACGTGGGTAACATTGAAAATGTTTAGAACTGGCCAGTTAGAAATATAGCTAATGAAAACTTTTTTTGTATTTCAATTTCAGAACTCTTTGGTAACCTGATGTAGAATATTGCATTCATTTATTTAATGTTGCCAATACTGCACATGTTAATAGTTTATGATTTCACTTTTATCTTAAGTTGGTAGCAATGTGATTGTTTCTCTTTCTGTGCCCGTCTGTTTGAGCGATTACACGTGATAAGTATATATCAATCTTTTTATTTCCACGAACCAACCTACAATCTACATAACATTACAACCAGTACCTCTGACAGCGGCAAATCTAAAACTCTTGTTACACGTGAAAATCCACATAACCAGATGGATTCCCCATACTTTAACCGATGACCAGAAGGTCGCATGGACTGGTGTCGCCAAATCTTAAATAAGTTCAACGGCGGTGACTCAAATGCTGTATTTAACATCGTCACAGGTGATGAAAGCTGGATATATTGCTACGAACCCGAAACCAAAAGACAATCAGTACCCCTAGTATGAGTTTTAATCGTTTTCGAATTCGATCAATCGTATCGTCTCGTTTCCATACATTGACTAGCAGCGCCCCTAGCGTTAACTATCAAAAACAAAAATCAGCATTATGAGTTTCATCGAGTCATCGAAAAACGAAAACTACCAAAGTTTTCGTATGGCGTTTGCATTTTGGCAGTACAAGTTACAACTTTGACAGCGCGTCATGAGTATACTACGACGTTTGATCGTATCGTCACTCGATTAGAAACTTTCAGTGACTAAGTGTTTCGGACCAAGTTTTTATGCAATCTAATAATGTTTTCGGCACAATATTTAGCTCTCATGCTCGCTGAAGACATTGACGAAGACCAGCGTGCACAGGAACGACGGGAATTATTACAGCGGAGGCGATTAACTTCTTTTATCACCGACAGGCATTTATATATATTTGAAGTGTAACATCTTTCCTCTCGCTTTCCTGCAATTTGTGGGCTTTCCTGCCCTTCGAAATGGGACGGAAGTGTGTATCAGGAAGTAGCTAAAGCGCGGACTATTTGATTTGATTTTAGAACATAATGTTCAAATGGCTTATTCCTTTTGTAGTAGTTTTTTTTACTAATATAAGGTGAGGTTTTAATTTTATTTCTTTACGGTCTTGAAGTCAACCATACAGCCAAGTTTCACACACAGATAAACGTAGGTTCTATATTCTTTGGACACAAATTAATAAGATTAAGTCTAGAGTTTTACATAGATTAGCTTTTCTTAAGGTTGAATTGGGAGTTTTTGGCGCGATTTCATCGTGTGCGGTTGGGGTCTTATTTTAATTATTCCTAAATTCGTTCATAGTGGTAACAAAATTGGTGTGATTTTGTGTTACAACCGTCTGCGCAACTAAAGGATTAGTGGAATCTTTAAAATATACGCTATTCCGGTCAAGTGGACGTGAGAATTTTATGGTATGTTGGCTACCTCACAGAAGCTTATTGAAAAAGCCAACTCGATACATCTCGTGCCAAACATTCCAAGAAACATTAGAATGCGTCACACCGACATTCTAATGTAAAAAAAAATAAGATCAATATAACATAAGTTTAGGCTGTACGGGCATTGTTCCCTTTGCATTCCATAAAAAGGGAGAACCTTTAAAAAAAAGGTTAATTGAATGAATGGCTCAGCCCTCTCTTTTTTGGCAATAAAGAACGAAAGAGACAAAACTAAACAGTGTGAAGTTCGTTTAATCGAGTCATCGAGCATACGATATCGTGAAAACGAGGAGTGAAATTCTATACTAGTACTGCGACACAATTCGAAAACGTAAAGTTTGATCGAATCAACGAAGACGATCGTTCGATTCGTATTAAAAAAACTCATACTAAGAGTACAGCTCAGTGGGTCTTTTCTTTCGAGGATCGGCCAACTAAGGTAAAGAAAGGAAGAAGTCAAGGAAATAAGATAATTGCCTCATTCTTTGGTCGGAAAGGTCATTTCGCGACAGTTGTGCTAGAAGATGGAAGGACAGTTACTGCAGACTGGTATGTAAATCGCTGTTTGCCTGTTGTCTTGGAAAAAATCCGACAGCAGCGCCCTGGAAGCAGGATCCTCCTTCAGCACGACAATGCTTCAGCGCACTCCGCAAAACGGACTGTTGAATATTTGACTATGGCAGGTGCCGAGATAATGAGTCATCCGCCGTACAGCACTGACCTGGCGCCCTGCGACTTTCATTTATTCCCAAGAATTAAAGATAAAATTCGAGGCATTCGCTTTACGAGCCCTGAAGATGCGGTGAAAGCATACGAAAATGCCATAGAAGAGACACCTAAGGAAGAATGGGCCCACAGCTTTTATCAGTGGTTCCATCGAATGCGACGATGTGTAGAGAGGAACGGAGATTACTTCGAAAAACAATAAAAGTATTGGCAACTTTCTACATTAAGCCGTTTTCATTTTCTAAACATTTTCAGTGTTACCTAGGTATTTTGGATCCGCCAATCAAAAAGTAGTCGATCCGCCAATCGAAAAAATGTACGCCCACGTTATCAGTTTTTTTAGTTTTAAGTTATATTTTTTATACTATGAGTTCCATATTTGAGAGGTATGTTATAATTTTATTGCGGTTTAGTAAGTGATTTAAATAACAAAGGTAGTAATAGAAAAGATTGTTTCATTGTTGTTTCATGATTGTTCCTAATATTCCTTTCACCTTAGTGTGGTCATAGCGATTTCCAAATTTCAATTGTTTCAAGCCCTTTTGACGTAAAGAACGTGTCAAAATGTGAGTCGTGACTTATTTGTACACAAAAATTTAAATACGTATGCAGGATTTGGCTGTGTATTGTGTCATTTTTGATGTGTCAGTGTCGTAATTACCATTTCGTTTTTTATGAATGTATGTTAGACTGCATTTGTGTGTATATTCCTCCCCCCGCAAAAAGTGGCAGAATAATTTCAGTAGTATTGTCACTATGGCTACACCCCTCCCTGCCGCGTCGGTCGTGTTACTCTATGCATCACACTGAATGAGGAGCTCGATGGCATAGGTGGTTAGCGCATTCGGCCTGCGATCGTGAAAGTTAAGCAACTTTCGCAATGGTCGGTCATTGGATGGGTGACCAAAAACTTAATATCTCGAGCTCCTTTGTGCTTCGTAATTAAGGCATGTTAAGCCGGTGGTCCCGACTGCATCTGCAGTCGTTAGAACCCACCAATCCGCAATGAGCCCGCGTGGTGGGTCAAGGCCCAGTCTCCCTATTCCGAATACCTTTGCCCCTGCAGTGGGGATGTTCCCATAGGCTGATGATGATAACTCACTATCGAAATGTTGAGCCTGTTCCATGAGGAACTGTGAGCCTTGTTCCCACTGCCTCTCCAGAAGCTGGTCCAGACTCTGAGCGCCGGAGGAATTGCCGCGACTGCCGGTGCCCTGTACCGAAAATGTCTTATGAGTTATGGCCGACAGAGTATTCAATAAAATAAGTTTGGTTAAAGTTGATGTTGTCACTTTCTTTGCGATAACAATAGCATGAGACAACACGTAACATAGGGCCAGTTTCAATAATCGAACTCCAGTAAGAGAGGTAGGTTAGATGATGACATAAAGAAAGGGCATAGCTGATTTTACACTTTTTTTTGATCTGGAGTCCATCTGGAGAAGCTACCTCCACCTTACAAAAGACTACAGTAAAAAGACACTACTTTTTGGTGATGTTGTGTTTCTGCTGATGAGTAGGGTGTCAGAGCTCCGCAGGGCAGGGGATTGGGTTCAGGCCAGCTAGGTGAGGATGGCATCATCTATTTTCCCGACTGGACTGCAATTATGCTTAACATCCGGAAATTTGCTGCTCCTCGTTTAAAATTAGGATGTATAAAACAGAACCTTATCCCAGAACCCGCAAGGTTAATTGACTTCTCCAACGGCTAGTTATAAAAATCAACCTCCACCTAAAGATTATCCTTACCTTGTACTGGAGGTTGATTATTGAAATTGGCCGTTGGAGAGTCCCATAGTTATTGTTAAATCTACTTGGTGGACGAAGAAGAAAAAAAGTTAGTCATCATCCCTATTGATTGAAGCTATGCTCCGTGTCTATTTTACTTATGTGACTAAGCTGCGAGCGGGGGACGGCGCCACTCTCCGGGCTCGGCGCTGTGTGTATACTGACCAGCGTGACCTTATTGATGAGTGGAGGCGGTACGAGCGGGTCAGCGCCGCCAGCTCGGTCCCGAGCTGCTCCTTCAGGCGCGAGACGGCGCCACTCTCCGGACCCGGCGCTGTGTGTATACTGACCGGCGCGGCCTTATAGATGAGCGGGGGCAGTACGAACCAGTAAGCGCCGCCAGCTCGGTACTGAGCTGCTCCAGCATGCGGGGGCGGCGCCACTGTCCGGGCCCGGTGCTGTGTGTATACTGACCGGCGCGGCCTTATAGATGAGCGGGGGCAGTACGAAAGAGACAGCGCCGCCAGCTCGGTCCTGAGCTGCTCCTGCAGGCGTGGGGCGGGGCCACTCTCCGGGCCCGGCGCCGTGTGTATGCTGACCGGTGCGGCCTTATTGATGAGCGGGGACGGTACAAACGAGTCAGTGCCGCCAGCTCGGTCCTGAGCTGCCCCTGCAGGCGGGAGGCGGGGCCACGCTCCGGGCCCGGCGCCGTGTGTATGCTGACCGGGGGTGCCTTATAGATGAGCGGGGGCAGTACAAACGAGTCAGCGGCGTCAGCTCGGTCCTGAGCTGCACCTGCAGGCGGGGCGCGGGGCCACTGTCCGGGCCCGGCGCCGTGTGTATGCTGACCGGTGCGGCCTTATTGATGAGCGGGGACGGTACAAACGAGTCAGTGCCGCCAGCTCGGTCCTGAGCTGCCCCTGCAGGCGGGAGGCGGGGCCACGCTCCGGGCCCGGCGCCGTGTGTATGCTGACCGGGGCAGCCTTATAGATGAGCGGGGGCAGTACAAACGAGTCAGCGCCGTCAGCTCGGTCCTGAGCTGCACCTGCAGGCGGGGCGCGGGGCCACTCTCCGGGCCCGGCGCCGTGTGTATGCTGACCGGCGTGGCCTTATTGATGAGCGGGGCGGTACGAGCGGGTCAGCGCCGCCAGCTCGGTCCTGAGCTGCTCCTGCATGCGGAGGGCGGCGCCACTCTCCGGGCCCGGCGCTGTGTGTATACTGACCGGCGTGGCCTTATTAATGAGCGGGGGCGGCACAAGCGGGTCCGCACCGCCGGAGCCGGCCGCGTGTGCCGCCAGCTCGGCGCTGAGCTGCTCCTGCAGGCGGGCCGCAGCGCCGCTCTCCGGGTTCAACTCGTTGCCCAACATGTGAGGCGCAGTGCAGCTCACGCCGACCCTGATGCGGATCATTCACACTGACATTTAAAAAGGGCCTCCATATTAAATAAAATATTTATTTATTTATTTATCAGGCATGCCAACATTTTTACACCCAAGATAATTAAAAAAACATACGTTATACATAGAGTTGTGCAAAAACAGTTACAGGCATACACAACTCTTATTTCTGTCAAAATTAATGATATAAAACTAAAGTAGGTATAAAAAAAAACATACATAAAACTAAACTATAATCAAGTGACACAATCAATGCTCGATAGCAAAGCCCTCCTAAATGCAATCAATGACGCAGCGAACAAATCAACGCCTACCAAGGACCCAGTACAGATTTTATTGTGTTCTTCACAAATCCTATTTAAAACACTCTGCGTACCCAGGTTGGTTTTATAAGTTTTTAAATTAAATAATTTATAGTTAGCTGGTCTGAAATTTGGTCGTGGTATATTAAAACTAATTTCACTAAGAAGTTGAGGACAATCAATGTTACCTCTCAGAATTTTATACAGTAAAATCTGATCAGCAACCCATCTGCGTTTCCGCAATGAAACCAACTCGAAATACTCCAATTTATCCTTATATGAGATGAGTTCATATCTTTTTCCCTGGTGTCTAGTTAGAAAAGACAAAAACTTTTTTGGATTCTTTCAATTCTGCTTTTATGACACTCATAAAGAGGAAATAGCAGAACAATACTCCAAGGAACTGCGTACCAAAGCAAAGTATAGAAGTTTCAATGCTTCAACATTTTTAAACCGCTTACAACTACGCCAAAGAAATCCCAGCATTTTTAAACTCTTAGATATAATATGGTCAAAATGATGAGTGAAAAGTAATTTTTTATCCAAAACAATACCGAGATCTTGAATGGACGATGCCTCTTCAAGAACTTGGGAATTTATAGAATATGCAGACTTAACCGGAAATCGTTTCTTAGTGAATTTTATATGCTTACATTTGTCAGGATTAAAATGAAGCATATTTGCGTGTGACCAAGCCGCTATTTGGTCCAGATCTTTTTGTAAAAGCTCAGCATCATTGGAATTTTGGACAGTTTTGTATATTTTAAGATCGTCGGCAAACAATAAACAGCTTGAGTACCTAATAACTCTAACCAGATCGTTTATAAATGCTAGAAAAAAGAGAGGTCCCAAATGTGATCCCTGAGGAACTCCTGAGTAAATCAGAATATAATCAGATTCATATCCACAAGTAACTACTTTTTGATATCTCTCAGAAAGATAAGAATGACACCAGTCTAACAAAGAACCGTGAACACCTGCCAAGCATAATTTCTTCAGCATTATAGAGTGATTAACCTTATCGAATGCTTTACTTATATCGGTGTACACCGCATCCACCTGTCGACCCTGATCCAGTTCAAAACTTAATTCATTTACATAGCATGTCAGATTTGTAATTGTAGACATCTTTTGACGAAAACCGTGCTGCTGAGGAACGAGGATGGATCCAAGATGATTTGTAAAATATGGGTACACTAATTTTTCAAACAGTTTAGGAAAACTAGATAATAAGGAAATAGGTCTATAATTACGCACGTCGCTCGTATTTCCTGATTTAGGAATTGGTAAGTCATTAGCCCATTTCCAAACTAACGGAAAAACACCAGTAGATAAAGAATTATTAAAAATAATATTTAGCGGATATGATAGAGAAGAAGCACAGTTTTTTAGGAATACGGCTGGCACTCCATCCGGACCTGGACCTTTCCTTGGATCAAGATTCTTCATCGCTTTTTCAATGCATTCTACCGACAGGTATATATTAGAAAGGGAATTATTATTGTCATAAGATGTACTGCCAACGTGTGGCATTAGAATAGCAGGATCATTAGCCACGTATACCGATGAGAAGTGTTGTGCAAAGGCATTACAAATTGACTGAGGAGTATCAAACTTCGTATTATCCAAATGCATTACAGAGGGCATCGTAACGGCTTTCTTGCGATTGTTTTTGACATAGCTCCAGAAGGCTTTAATGTTATTCTTGCTAATAGAGTTTTCAATATTATACAAATATCGACGGTAACATTTTTTTATTAGTAAATGGCATCTATATCTTGCCTGTTTGAACTCAAAATCATCTACAGGATTATTATAAAGCTTTAGTCTCTTCCGTAATTTTTCCTTTTCTCTAAGCATTTGAATAAGGTGATATGGAATATCGTATCGCATTAATAAAAACGTTCAGTGCCGATTTTCTTTCAAATTAAGATAAGCTTAAAAACAGTCAAAATCCGGATAACAGTCAACTTAACCATCGACTACAACAATTGAGATAGCAATATTTTTCTTATAACAACTGTTTCGTTATGATCCTACAAAAGTTCCGCCCTCCAAAAACTAATAAAAAAAACTTGCTTTCGCATTTATAATAATAGGTAAGTCTGGACCAAGGTATAAAAATCAGGACAACTCCGTATTAACTTGGATGAACGGTGACAAGAAGGGATTCTTGCCAGGTTACATTTCAGCCAGCGCAGGAGCATCAAGTCAAGTGGAAGTGAGGCGGACAATTTAATGTGACAGTATGAATCACATTAGAAGTGTGTACGGAACAACTTTTCCATTTAAAGCTTTCCATTAAAATGATATTTTCAGGGTGAAAAAGTGAAAAAACACTTTTTTTGAGACTTTAGCGCCACCTACAATGCGCATTTTTTGTTGTACGAGATTGCAATAATGACATAAATTGTAGTACTCAACGCCCTCTACAATTATGATCGAAAAAAAAGTTTCTAAAATGCATACAAAACAAGAAAAATGCGTTTCAAAAAATTTTTGAGGGTTTTTTTGAGTTTTTCAAAAAACGCCTACGAGTTGAACATGCCCATCGCAAAGGTGGCTTACTGACGTCATTTGGCAACAGAAAAAACAAGACTTACCCTTTAGGTTTTTTTTTTCACTGAAACGATTTTTTTTTTTCGATAGATTGACTGTACTATCAGCATTAATGGTAAGAAAATTCTCGGAATAGCTTAATTTTTTTTTATATGACTCTTGCTAAATATGGTAATGATACGTCTTCACACATCAAAAAAATAAATGCAACTTACTTATTTTCCATTTTTGGTTTCAATGGTCGGTCGGAACCTGTAAAAGAATTTTATTTACATTATTTAATCAATTATTTACATTATTTAATCAATAATGTTAATAATTAGTAACACTAGCTTATGAGTAATATTTATAAGCCAGTAAGTGTATGAGCATGAATTTTTCATGTAGGTATTTTCATTATTTATTATTAATAAGTAACATTTCTGACACAACAAGAATAAAGCGATGAGTTGAGTCATGCATGGTATGCTAAGTAATTATTTGGACTTACTAGGCGAACTGGGCGGAGAATCTTTGATGGTCTCCTGGTAGATAGGTGGCGGCGTGGGCTGCGGCGGTCTTCGCACGTTGGCTAAACTCTGAGGCGCTGTTTCTAGAAAGGAAAAGACATTTTTGGAACTTATTACAGACTTGCTCTGCTTTGTTGTGGACAAAAAAAACAATAAGCGAACGAAAAAATTTGCTGCTGCATTAGTTTGATTCTGAAATAAAAACTAAAATAACAAAACCATGTTTATAAAACTTTAACAACAACTCCCCTTTATCGACCCATAGCTAGCTTCAGTATAGCTGTGAATGAGAGACTATTGCAAATAATGCGAGTTTTGGATTCTGAATTCAACAAAACCATATTTGAAAAACTTAAATATACCTCCCTTAACAACCCGCAGCTACCCTCCGCTATACTAATTGATGCGAAACTATAAAATCTTTTATTTTTTGATTTCATGAAAAAAAAACACGCGTTTTGTAAAAAAATCAAACGATCCGATCGGTGTAGAACTTGAGGAGATTTTGCAAGATACAACTGCCCATTCTTGTACCTCAAGTTTTAATATGCATTTATGTGTAGAAAAATAAGCCGAGTTCATTAGAAATATTAATGGAATTTATTATCAATTCGCGCCACATAAAAATGTCGTTTAATCATTTAAATTTATGGTTACACAGATAATACACTATGGTAAACGTGCATCTTTAAATTAGCCACGGAAATCATTAATTTATAAAACTGTACCCCTAGCATGAAACAATATCGAATTCGAATAGTTTGCGAGTACGAAATGTCATTGTCAAATTTTGTATGGAAACTTGAACAACAGCGCCACAACGGATGTAACTAAAAATCAGTACACATTTGACGTCATATCTAGATCGAATCCAACTATTTGATAATGATTCGTGCTAAGGGTACTGATTAGTCGTGAGGCATAAATATCGGAATAGGTATTTGGAATACGTATTTTTCGATACTAGGCGATACCTAATCCGAGGCGTCAAATATTTCGAGTAATAGGTACCACATAAAATATTTAAATGCCAAAGGTAAGCTTGATACTGTAGCAGTCATTTTAGGCTTAATTTAATCAATAATCCCAAGACGAAAATAAAAAGGTAACACTTTTCATTTCGGCAATTTGAGATTAAAATTCAGAACAGTTATCTGTCAAATTCAACTATTCGTTCGAAAGTTTTGTGAATTAGAGAAGGCTTGGAGAATTTAATTTTCATACTTTTTTCGGACGTACGAATTTTCGAAATGAAAAAGAAATAGAGAAAGGAACGTTTTTCGTTGAAATAGAGTAAGCCTCCACCTCTTCTTATTCTACGTTCTAGTTTTTTTTCCGACGGTTAATGAAGGACACAATCTAACTACATATATATATAATTAGGTTCCGAAGTATATATATTTATATATACTTCGGAACAGGAGGCCTACTCTTATTCAACGAAAAATGTTTCGTTTTTAATTATAATAATATTTGTCGTCGGAATATAGATTGAAGTATAGATTTTCTAAGCCTACTCAAAAAAGCTCCAATTTGATAGTTTATCGTTCAAGTTAAGTATAACCTTAAATTGACGAAATTAAATATCGTTTGAACTTCGTAATCGAAAGTTCGTTTCGGAGAAAGAGAGTAGACCCCCAGATACTTACGTAGTGGCGACGGTGGCGGCGGCGTTGCCATGGAAACCACAGAGGTCGCCATCGCTGCTCGCTTCTTGGTTCGGATCGTCGTAGGGGGCATCGGGATACCGGCTAGATTCATGTCCTTGCTAGTGTTCTGCACCCCACTGACTCTGCGAGCCAACCAGTATCATATATATCACAGTACATACCACATTTAAAATAATATAGTAAACATACATATATACCTATAGTTAAAAATTAAACAAATTTCGCAGTATTACAACTCGCCAAAAGCAACCCTTTCCGCTCTTCTGTTTTGACCGTTACACGGCCAGAGCTATTGACACAGTCCCTTGCCACCATCTCTATGAGTGGAATCTCGACACAAAAAGAAGAACCGCAAGGACAAACAATAAGTAGAATTTTTCGCATTTTGCTAAAGTCGCGCAAATTTACACAAATTGGCAATGTTCTCGCTATACCGCCAGCGCAATAAAAATATGTCCTAGACCATTCGCTTTTGCTCCACGACAGATATTTATTTTACGTCTGCCGCAATTGGGCAAATGTGCCAATCGTATTCATGTTTTGAGATTTTATTCTGGTATGGAGGATAATAATAACAGGATATGCATTGCGGTAATTTTTATGGTGGGTTCATATAGGCGTTTGTCATTAGTGAATAAATATTATGTTTACGTGCAATGCTCTTACAAATATTTTAGCAAAGGAAAGTTTTTTTTCCTTGTGTATAATATTGTCTATGTTAGCTAGAAGGTATAAGAACTTCGACGTTAAATTGATGGAATGTTTGGACTTAGGATAGTGGGAGGCAAGATCCGATGGTAGACGGCCACTAAAGACGGATAAGCCTAATACCCGGTGGAGTTCCGAAAACATGTTCACCAACAGAAACACAGCAAAATAGAAAGGTAGTATTATTAAACTATGGTCTCCGTAAACCGAAGATGTTACTTCCCCAGGTGGTTACTCTAATTCGAGTGGAAAATTCGCATTGCCCAACCTCTGTTATATAATAGTACTGGGATACCATACATAACGGAAGCTTAAAAATATATCACTTATTTTCAGCACAATTTAATGGAACATCCAAGACCTTGTTTTATAAACAACTATTGCGTATAATTTCTCGTATTAAGTATATACAGTATTTTTCCATCTACAAACAAAGTACGACCTTCAAGAAAAATTTGAATTACAATGTATAATCCGAAAATTTTCTGTTTTGCATTAGCATTAAATATAGTGCACAACAAGAAAAACAGCATAATATTTCGCAATACAAAAGCTCAGCGCTTAGATTTATTTCATAACATACGTTTCATATAGCAGTGATACATAATACCGTAATGTTACCGTTAATACCAAATAAAGTTTATTTCGGCGCTTTAGTTAAACCTCTATATAAAAAAAAACTTCCAGTACAAAACCGATTTAAGCTAAAACAGTACTGATAAATTAAAATAAATTCTATAGATATATTTAATAAGGCTACGTCATCGATGCGCAAGCGCAAATCTACGGCTGATACCCCATACCTGGATACATTCGTTCGATATTGATAGCCAGTTCCAAAAGATGAATCGGGTACGCAGGATAACAAAACACGATACTACTTATTCGCTAAAATTACAAACACGATATCATATCAGTCACAAAATAGTGAGCGCAAGATTCGAATTCAAGTAACGGGACGTGTATGGGTAATCGTCAATTGTAATACAATAGTGCCTGAGTAGACATGTCTGTTTAAAATAATTATTGTTAAAAATTATATATGAATTTATATGAGTATAGCGTACTGTCGAAATTGGTAAATTATTTTGATTTTGAGTAAGTGTATTATATTTATTATTGTATGTGAGCATTGTATGTATTTAGAAATACAAAAATCAGATGTAAGAAAAAACACTATTAGCTTCAGTAAAAATAAAACAATAAAAGTCGCGATTTTGGCTAAAACAGTACTAATAAATTAAAATAAATTTTATTGATATATTTATTAAGGGGTAACATTCAAAACCGTTTATTCAGTCTAGGCTGTGACAAGCACTTGAAGCCATGTCATCGGTGCGCAAATCTACGGCTGGATACCTAGCACCTACTGAGAAAAACCGGCAAGAAACTCATCAAGGTCTGGTTTTTCTCCCTGTCTTATAAAATACTGTAATATAATAATAGTATTACTACTATCGCTCGCTAGCCAAAGCAAATTGTATGAAAATATGTATCATTATCAGAAATATGTAGTTCATATTAATTCTATAAATAATTAACTAATAATTTTCCTCGTATATTATTAAATCAATCAGGACTTGCCATATTAAAATATAGGGCATGCAGATATAATATTTAGCAAAATTTCAAAACACATTAAATCTGTCAATAATTTAACAGAAGTACTTGAAATAATTATATAAATAAGATAAATTTTTATCTATAGGTCATTTTATTACTAGATATAAGAATTTATAGTGACATTCTTGGGAATATTTGTTTAAGACTCGGATATTTTGCATCTCATTATTGGGATGGTAAATGTTAATATGCTATTCTGGTTGCGTGAAGCTTTATAATTATTTTTCACCATTACCAAATGTGTGTAATACTGTTTTTGAACAACAAAATATTTAAGAACTTTGACAGATTCCATTTTACTTACGCCGCGTGTTTCATCTTTAGTTAAATTTGACTTTTGTTAATGACACGTTAAATACATAGTTAATTTGTCAAATTTTGACAAATGGTTATTTAACAATAGTAAAATTATACAATCGACGGAACAACGCGACCCTATATATTGAAATGCATTTATTGTTTTAATTATAATGCTCTAATTAATTTCTTACCCTGGTTTATTTGGATCCTGCTGCATCTCGTAGGTGACGTTCAGCCCACCCCAAGCTGATCGTCCTGGTACACTATGAGGACCATGACCAGGCATACCTGGATCCATGGCGGCCTGGAAAGTACGCCATTCTACTAAGTCTCACTACCACAGAACACAATTTTAACAGTAAAGCATTTTTTGTTCCAGGGCGAAAGAAAGCGACCGCCCACCCCACATGTGCATTGCAATTGCAATACCTAAGTTGTCGACACTAGAAGATCATTTAGATTCTTGTGAATAAGAGGGTAGATAACGTCGCCGCAAACATCGCACAAATCATGTGGTAATTGTTTTCAAATGTATAAAAATATCAAAATATTTTTAATATTTTTACACATTTGAAAACAATTAACTTAAATATCAAAATATTTTTAACCGTCCCAGCGGATAACTGGAATTATTGCGATAGGATGCAATTTAAATTATTATCGCGGTAGCCTCAATAAAAAATATGTATTCGTTTAATAAATTAGGTAAGTTTAAACAAAATTGTGACATCTTGTCTCGACAGTCTATACAACGTTAATGACAAATAAAGTTTATTTATTTAGGCACTTTAGTTAAACCTCTATATGAAAAAAAACTTCCAGTACAAAACCGCTATCAACAATAACCTAACTTATCAGCTTGTTTATCAGTAAATAAATCTAACATTAAAGTTGCAACTTTGTAGGCACTTCGGTACGACGATAAACATTCATTTGTAATAGCTTGTACGAATAAAATATACCATGTTTGGTCTGTGAAATAACACGTTATACTCGTTTAGCAAAACCGACATCTATTGATGCGCAAACTCCACGCCGGGGAATACAGTGTCGTCACAGGCATGGTAGCCAGCACGGAGCAGATGCGGCGCACGCGGCCGATCCACTGGGACTGACTGAAGGGCATATCGCACATGTGCTTAGCAGGTAGGGAAGAAGAGAGACACTAATCTAAAAAACGGTTCGAAATATAACCATACGAGGCGCGGTTTGTACAAGATAAAAAACAATTGTGTAGGCAAATTGAAACTTATTATTATAAGCTTGATTACTGAATAAAATAGCAACTTATATTTTACTTTAGGGAGGAACTACATATTCCTAGTACATACATACATTACACCTTTTAATAATTGCTAGCAAATATTGTGTAATATCTATTTAATTTAGATTTAGACATAATTTCGAGGGTTTTGAGGAAAACTGAATTGAACGGACGGTGATGGTTTCTGACATACCGGGCTACTCCTACATTGTTATGAAACTTTCGAAAACAATTTTTAGGTCACTTGCCGTTTAAATTAACTCCCTAGACCACACGTATAGACGAAATACATATTTACATTAACGGAGCGGCCCATCTAGACAACCAACTGTCTGCGAGCGACTAGGGGCGATGCAATATGAATGGTATAACAACTGTCCTATAATTTCATTGTTATTAAAGTAGGGTTTTTTCACTGCCAACAACTAAACGGAGCTTCAAATAACTCGGTTAGACATATAGAAATATGTATATTATTATTAGAAGATGTCTATTCCGAGAAATTTTATTAAAATGGTAATAACAACCAAAGATTTAAATCTTTGATATCAACCTTTTCCATTAGCTCAACTTTTCTCGGCAGTCATTAAAAGGCTGCCATGACATAAATGTTTTATTACGGTTTATCAGTTAAGTAGTTTAGGGAGTCCATCTCGGGCAAACGTGACGCGAAATTTATATATATTAAGAAGTTATTTGATTATTTCCACTACATAATATCAGTCTTAATAGTACTTTTTGCAGTTGTAGGTACCAACGCTTTTGTTATTACTTGACCTATTACCAACTATTATAATTAAAAAAATACCGAAAGCGTAAACATGTGAAGAATAAATGCAAACTGCGGTTTCGCATTTTATAACAAATTGCTCTTCCAAATCACACAATTCTACAAAAAGTAATTAGATAAAGATTTCGTAAATATTTTTTACATAAAAAACCCCATAAAAACAAAATATTCAGTTTGTTTCTTCCTTTGTAATGCTAGGTATGTGTTTCAACTATTGTATACAAGAACGACCAACATCTCTCAATGATTGTGCTTTTCTGTCTCCACGTTCCTACCTGGGTAAAATTGCATGTTTAAAAAACCCAACCCCGAGATGCAATCTTTAAGAGATTTGAGGAGCCAAGGGTAATATAACCATATATCCCGTATTGAAAGGGCCTGTCCCTTTCTGGTATTATTTGGGACCACGAAAAAAACTGTGGGGAGCATAGAATTTCTTCTTTTCAATAATATAAATATGTACATAAATTAGAACTTTCATGGTGTAATTACAAGGATGATAACGTCAAAATTTTGCGAATTAAATCCTGTTAAGGGGTATATCCAAATAAAACGCGGCACTGGGCTGTAAAAGCTTAAAAGTCAACACACACTGCTTTTTACTACATATTATAAATATCAACATACGCCCCTGCTAATATTGCGTTCTTGTGTCGTCTCACTTTTCAGATGATCACTATAGACGCAAAAAAGTTGCTTTTCTTTAAGTAATAAAGTTGGCAATAGATTCCATTCCACCTAATATTAAGAGGTAGTGTAGAACAGACGCGAAGATAGCTGGTGTAGCAATTTGAACCTGCACACTAACTAGTCATAGGCCATAATTACTGTAACATAAAAACTTTTCTTTTTTTCAAATTTTTCATTATTTTGATTTTGGAACACGTATATTATTCAAAAACTTCTTTCGTTTTGCGCCATTTCACATATTTTTTCGTGTTCATTATCAAATTACAATATGGAATGGGGAGTTAAATATAATAGGGTTGCAGTGATCGCCTTGCATAAAGTGGGTATGGAGCCATCGGTCATATTCCAGACACTTCAAAAGCTTTATATCAGCCGCATGTTCGTATATCGTACTATCAACAGATACAACAACACTTCGACTGTCGAAGACCAGAACAGGACGTGCCCTAAATCAATCTTTACAATTAAAGAGAGTTGATCGATCAAAACGCCTTCTGTCGCGATACGCAAGTGAAAAGCACAGAGATATCCTCTTTACCGATGAAAAAAAAAATCACGATTGAAGAACACAATAAGCGAAATGATAATGTGTACGCTCACAGTTCTAAAGAAGCTGCTCAAATGTTCAGAAAGGTACAACGTCGTCATCATCCTACGTCAGCGATGGTTTGGTGGAGCGTGCCTTATCAAGGAGTCACAAAACCACATTTTTGTGAAAAAGGAGTGAAAACTTCAGCCAAAGTTTATCAAGATACAGTCTTGGATCATGTTGTAAAATCTCTCAGCAATACACTTTTTAAAATTATACCGTGGACTTTTCAGCAGGATTCTGCACCTGCACTACCACAGCCTGGCTTGAAAAGAACGTTCCGGACTTTATAAGAGCTGAAAACTGGCCCTCATCTAGCCCTGAGCTCAGCCCTTTAGACTTCAAATTATAGCGTTTTAGAGGACATGGCCTGCTCTAAACAACACGGCGACATTGAGTCTCTTAAAAAATCTTTGGAGCAAGCAGTGGCGAAATTTCCCTTGGAAACATTCCGTAAATACATAGATTCGTGGCAAAACACGTGACCTAATCGAAAATTAGTAAGACGAAAACAATGAAATTGGAAAGGTTGTTAACATAGTAATATTTTATTTTATTGTATTATAATAATAAGGCTCTATCTAGGACGTCCAGGTGGCAGCTTTATTGCGAAGAAAATGCATTTTTTTACAATAGATAAGGTGCGCTTAAATGTGATTCATGTAAGTTGATTTTTCTGAGATAAACGTTTTAATGTAATATAAATTGTCATGTTTATGTACGATAGCGCAATAAATAAATACCGATTCTACCACATACTGATAGCACTTTTATACTGATAAATTAAAGCAATTCGTGCAAAATTATTCCCTAACCATTCCAAAATATCAAAAATGCACAATGTTAATATTCAAGTTTTCACTTATGTCGGCACTCCCGGAGTGCAACCCGTCGTTTTTTTAATGCCGGCACTTCTTGGTTATTCGTGTTTGCTATTTGTAAACTTAACATCAGTGTGCCCTTTTCATTCCTTATAAAGCATGGTAAGGACGGACTGTTTTCAAGTTTGCAAAAAACAAATACGAATAGCTAAGTGAAGTGCCGGCATAACATATTTGATTTGTAATAAATATCAAACAAAAATAACCATACAACATACCTGCTTCTGTGGTTGATGAAATATATGCGGTGACAGTCCAGTCATGTCCGATGCAGCGGAAACCTAAAATAAAAGGGCGTACTATTAACTATTAAATTCACGTTACACTTAAATGTAGCTGTGTATTGCTATCGGAATACTTTTTTGTATGCTGATTTCTACCTTATAACAAGTTTACTTACTCAAGTTTACCACAAAATGCGTATGCAATATAATGCGTATTTTCCTTGTTATACGGATTTAACCACAATAAGATGATAATATTTTATTTCAATTTATTACAGTGAGCGTAACATTTTGATCTAAAAGTTAGAACTGGCAAGGTTCATTTCCGCATTTCAGGGAAATATTTCGTTAATATGAAACTTACTACAATGATTTCTGCGATTTCTACTAAGAATGATAGTAAGTTTCTCTGACATTTACTCTATTTTCAATGTTGATGAGAGGCGCAAGCTAAGCTCTATCTGATTTTCACGGTGATCATGCAAGAGAAACCGTCGTAAGCTATATGTTAGTACTAAGGCATTGCTTCAAAATGTGGCACGTACCCTACACGCATCTCCACGGCGGAAGTTTACACACGTTTTATTAGTGGTTTACTTGTAATAAGTTTTAATGAAGAATAATTTTAATACATACATAATTTTAATACATACTTGATAATTCGAATGACTATACTTTCTTTACAATATTGATTTTCCAAGACGTGTTTCAATAAATAATATATTATACTTGAATATTATTTTATTCGTTAAAGGGTAGCCTGATATTCATGTAGGTAAAAGGCTATTCAAATTCATCAATTATTTCTTCAAATCACTTAGTCCAGATAGAATGCTTAACTTTGTATGCATATTAATTTTATAAATCTATCGTTAACTCCATATAAAAAAGCCGCAGGCAGATCAGTTAATTTAAAAAACAAAACTGAGGTTACATGTGTCCACATCCGCGTGCGTTGCGTGCTCTAGTGTTGCCGGTCGATAGTCCTTTATCGATATTTATGCTATAATCTATCGATTGTCAAGTGAAACAATTGTCTGGACAGATCTAATGTTCAGATCAAACCAATACTATGGACAAAGGCAACAACAGTCAAAAAAAATAACTACAATTTTATTTTATTGTGTAAAATAAATATATCGCCCCCCTTGTCCTTAAATAATTTAACTATTATTCTGTAGTGGTAGAATATACAAACCTCGTACTCAAAGGATAGTATTTTGACTCCTTCTGCTAAATTTAGAAGCTTGCCTAATAAACTGAGCTTTATCTACAAATTTGTAGCACTTCAGTAAATTATGAGCACGTTAGAACTGAGGGCCCACTAATTGATTAGATTTTATTTAATTGCAGTCACTGAGTAGGCTTTTATTTTTGAATGTAGTCTTACAAATTGTCTTCTAAATATTACCATTCATCAAAATTATTTAAATTGGTCAGATATAGAAATATGGAATTGAGGCGTTTCATCTGTGGGACCACAATCGGTGGCGAATTGTAGAGTTCGACTACAACAGCTGCAAAATCCTTCTGGATTCAATTTTATCCCTATAAGGTTGTATTGTAACTAAATTTAATTTAAGGAAATCCTTAGGGGATGAATCCTATGCTCAGTAGTGCGCATCGTACGGGTGATATGATGAATCTAATTTATCATTCAATATTGCCGATAGCATTGCTCGTAATATAATGATTGAGCACAAACTATTGGCATATCGATATATTATAGGGTGAAACTATTAGCGTACCGATAGATTATAGGATCTAACTATTAGCGTGTCGATTGATTATGGGGATAGATTATTAAACTATCGTTGTTTCGGCAACACTAGCGTGCACATCAACATAATGAACCTGTGCGTGCGCTGAGAGGTTGAGTCCATGGCCGACGGACGGTAACGGCACCGACACAAGTAGCGACACCGGCCCCTCGCGCTCCTTCCCGCCCTACACAACCCACGCTATTAGTTGCCAGCTTTTCTAGCATTATCACATACAGCTCAAACGGTAACAAGCAACGATCAACCTTTACGCGTAGGCACTGACTGTTGTGATTTTTTAAGCGGAGTAAAATTATTTTGTTGCTATTTAGATTAAAAATATTGTGGGAATCAGGCAAAAGGTAATTTAGGAAAAAAAACAAATTGTCTGTTTTAAAACAATTTAATTAAGTAATTATATACTGCTTATTTTGTTAATTTTGCAACTTTTTGTAGTGACTCAAAACAGCAAAATTTACTCTTTGGTTTAAAGCACAAACTTATTTTCAATTTTGTACTATTGATAATAATAGTGATAACTACCTACTATGTAAAGCTGTGTATCATTATTTTATTATAATAAAGTGTATCTGGTGTATACAATACAAACCTACTTAAAGAACCACAACAGTAAGCTTATTTAAAGAATAACAGAACATGCTTTATTGCTTCAACAGTATGTAAGAATGGTCAATGAAGAACGACGAAGCTGAAACAAAGTCAAATGGAAGAATAAAGATGGAGTGACAATTGATGATTAAGCAAATTTTATCATTAGATATAGACTTAACCATAACCTTATTGTTTTCTGTATGGTAATCCACTGTAATTTTGCAATAAATGCTTTTCCTATATTATATTTTAAATAATACTCAATACAATCGTTAAAATGCGGAATAACAACGCATTTTCACCTACATAAATACTATGAAAAAATTACTTTAGGTATTTATTAGAGCCGACATCATTTATACCATTTAAAAAGCAATTAAATATAAAATTAATAACAATTAAATAATCGTAAAACATTAATCTATCTTAAATGTGAAAACATCAAGAACAAGACTATTTTCGATATGGCGGGCTTGTGAAGCGCTTTAGTATTTTTTTTAATGTTCCTTTTTACATTTTTAAACTCCAATATTAACAAAAGGCCAAGCGGTATATCTTAAGAACCATTCTGGAGTTGGAATGTTTCGAAGTACTGAAGTAGGAATTTAACCAAGCATGAAGGGGCTAATAAACTGCTAAACATAAAATAAACTAAAGGAATGACAAATAGTTTGCTTAAAATTAAAATTTTGGATACAAATAAAAGTGATGTGAGCTCAGTGGAACTGTAAATAAAACTTGACGACCTCCGTGGCCGAGTGGTTTGTACGCCGGGTTTCATGGTGTCGCCGACTCGAGAGGTCCCGGGTTCGAATCCCGGTGGGGGCAGATGTTTGTGTGATGAATACGAGCATTTGTACTCCAGTCGTGGATGTTTAATATGTATTTTCTATAGAAATATACTTATATATGTACAGTATATGTATTCTATCCGTTACCCTAGCATCCCATAACACAAGCCTTACAGTGCTTACTTTGGGGCTAGGCTAATTGGTGTGAGTGTTGGAAACATTTATTTATTTATTTTATTTAACTATTTAAATGAAAATTCGAGGAGTACAGTTGCTATTTAAGTGGGGCGGTAAAGACACTCCAGTGATATTTAAAAGAATAAACTTAAATTATAGGACGGAGTAACCTATTCCAAACAAATGTATTTTGTAAAGTAAATACATTTAAATTGCTGCTGCTTTTCTAAAGCGAGTTAATGTTTTCCATTCAATAAGTGCTGTTTATTTACAAATACTGAACTGTATATGTTAGATCTAAGTTCTGAGACGGACTTCAACTTAAAAGGGCAATTCTTTTGATCATTAAGTCAAAGTAATATTTCGTCAGTATAGCAAAAATGTAAAATCGAGTTGAAATGTTTAAGAAGGTTTTGTAATGATGATCCTTGAGCGAGTATTGTAGGTGTGAAAATCACACAGTTCTGTTAAATTATCCAGTACCGAATGCACTATTATGAAGCTCTCTATGTCGCTAACGGAACATAATTGTATTTAGGAAAATCTTGAAAATTACAAATATACGAATAGGGTAAACAATAGGATATTTTTAACTTTTTTACGAAGTGAAGTACCACAAAATATTTGAGGTAAGAAATGGTACTTAAAATATAAGGAACAAAACTTACATGAGGCGGTTGAGGCGATCTAATGTTGGACATTCCTGGGTTGATTCCGCTTGGGCCAGGCATTGGGCTTGGTAGGTGTCTGCAGAATATTATAAGCACTCCTATATTCAATATAAAACAAAATAAGCTAAAATCACGGCCGTCAAATATATTGAGCGTGCAACAGCAGTTAGTATATTTTTCAAACTATGACAACTTATACCTTGTTAACATCACATCTTGAGTAAAATTGAATCTAGGCGCGATAAAAAAAAACTTGATTTGCTACAAAATTTACAGAACAATACGACGAATGTGTACAATGTTACTTCTCGAGTTCCAAAGTCAAATTGGCAACGTGCTATCGTTATTTGAGTCTATTACTAAAGCTAGAGGTGGAAAGGCGAACTTGATCGTCATTACGCGACCGGTGGTTTATTTGTCCAAGGCCTCTTTATGTAAGACAATAGGGTAGGAAACCCATAGAATGCGAAAACTGAAAACTGTTCCATGTGGAAAGCTTCTTATACGAGGTTATTCAAAGTACGGTGTGAGCTACTTTGAATAACCTCGTATAAAAACCTCTTTGAAATACCTCCTGGGGCGAGTCGGCACGTGTAACATGTTTTTGCTAAAACTTATCTTTTGTTCAATTTTGAAATAATAGACGCTTTTTTATTTCATACTTACATTGTGACGATTTATACAGGGTGGCCGGGGAGTTGTCATTCAAGCGTAAAATTTAGATAATTTATGATAAGGAGTATCCAAATCACCCCCATGTATGTTCTACGATTTTGCGTAGTTTTCGAGTTATAATTTTTTTAATGATTTTTTTCGTAATTTTCACATAACATATTTTTTCAATTTTTCTCTCATTCTGTTGGACGTTTCTGGTTCAGTTTTTTTGTGATAACTGACTAACATAGCACCCTTAAACTTATGGTTTATCTAGGCATTGCAGAATTCACTTAGAATTTGTCCGAAAGTTCAAAATTATGATTTGAGCTCAGTACACACAAATTTTCAAATAATCAAAAAAAAATGTAATTTGCAGTTCTAAGTGCTTTTAGAAACTTTCTGAAACATTTAGATAGGGTTAATGTTTATTTTCTGTAACTGACCTTCAAAGTAAATTAAGGCATTTTCAAAGGAAAAAAAAATAATTATTTTATTTTATTTAAATCTTTGACTTTCTATGATTTGTGATTTTCTTTGTGATGGATTTGAGTACAACGCAGTTAATTGTTAACAAAATACATTTATTTAAAGCAAATTTTCAAAATTTCGCCCTCCCACAGAAATACACAATCTACATCTGCGCAAAAAAATATGTTTTAGGTGCCTAAAAGCTTCACGGTTAATTTTCACAGTGGTTTTAGCTTCGTGAATTTTTGCTCTCAGTTTTTCTTCACTCGAAGCTTCTCTGGCGTACGCAATTTCTTTAAAGTAGCCCCAGATAAAAAAATCAATAGGGTTGAGGTCAGGCGAGCGTGGTGGCCAGGCAATTGGCCCTCGTCGTCCGATCCACATGTTGGGTAGGTCTGGTCTAAATGGCGACGTACTAGTGTCGCGTAATGGCATGACGCCCCGTCGCACTATGTGGAGGTGCCTAAGAGAGCTTGGCCATAAATACATTTTGTAAAAATCGGCGCAGGTACTTGTATTATACCTCAAACTATAGCTAAGAAGTTGATCTACTATATTATGTATAAATTATGTATGTAACTAGTACTTTTTTTTAGTAAAGAGCATCTCAATACGATGATTGAAAAATTATCACGAAAACATCATAATTTGTATTTTTTTCAGGATGATTTTCTAGTAAGCTAGCAATGAAAATTATACAAGCATTATACCATTTTAGAAAGCTTATAATATATACTTTTTTTTGGTATACACAAATATGCTATATATTTATAAATATATTTACTAGAAATATTTATCTCATGACATATCATTTTTGCGTATCTGAAACTTTCAATTAGAGTTTTGACAGTTGCCGAAATTTGCCGAAGGTCTGTAAATGATGTTATTTGATAGGAAATTTAATATTTTTATACAGGAAGAAAAAAAAAGTTGCAACTTCATTGCACAACATAATGCTATCTATCATAACATGAAATAGTAATAATTTCTTAAAAATACGTGGGCGAATCTATTTGTTTTATTAGTTGATATAGGTTACACTTGTGATATATTATTAGTTGCGGTTTATGTTTTGATAATGTAGTAGTAGTAGTAGTAGTATTTCTCACCATTTTTAGTTCGCCTACAAATAAATTATCAATAAAACACATAGGAAACCGAGTAACCACATAATGATAAATAGTTTTTATTCCCATACTTTGCATACGTTTCAAATCAGTTATTTAATATAAAATAGAGCATCTGCATACTGAATAATTACATACTGTTTTTCGTTCGTTATTGTCGTTACTAAAAGTGTATCTAACCACCTACTCTCTCGCAATGAGTGAATTCCAATGTACCAGACGCGACCTATGTCTTGTTTTGATTGAAAGTGACGGGAATTATGTTGTTGCTTTAACAAGTTATATACGGAATAATTTTATCAACTTTTCTGAGGCAAATATCGCTAAAATTGTCGCGAGTGTACAAAAAAATCTTATTACGAACTTTCGTCAACGCTACACTAAATCTGGCAGAAATAAAGAAAAATTTTTAAATCAGAATAGCCTGTGGTTGAATGCCACATTCACAGTAAATCTGGAAGATCCTACTTGTGAATCTGAACCTTCGACATCGACGGGGAAGCGAGGACGCCCTTCTAAAACCTACGAAGACAGTTCCGATAGAACACAAAGACGAAAAAACAAGGAGTTGCTTGAAACATGTGGCCTTGATTTTATACTGAATTCATATCTTCAAGGATTGAGATCTCAAGGGGAAACGGAAGAAGCATTCATTGTCGAAATTTTACGAGTATTACCCATAGATAAAAAAAGTGAAATACTTATACTACTATTTTAAATGAACCGGCACATTTAACAGCGTACTCTAAAGATGAAGCTCTCAGTATTTTTATAGAGTTGGACCTTAACATGGCACAGTATGAAAACATGAGAAATTGCTTAATTGCGAAGAAGTGCGTATTATTTCCGTCATATAAATCAATTCAGGAAGCTAAAGGAATGTGCTACCCACCAAGATCAAGCATAGAAATTAATAATATTACAGCAAAAATAAAACTGCAAGATCTGCTGGATCACACTATTGCAAGAATTTTGAAAATCAATGGTGTATACAAAGCTGGCAAAAAACATTTAATGCTGTATTCGAAATGGGGCTGTGATGGCTCAAGAGGACAAAGTGAATACAAGCAAGTCTTAACTGAAGAGGATGAGTTAATTTCTGACACAAATTTATTTATCTTCATTAGTAACTCTGAAACTTGTTGATATTAATACAAATGAAACTTTGTGGGAAAACCCTGTTCCATCATCAGTAAGATTTTGTAGGACCATTTTAATAGAATTTTCAAAAGAGACACCAGAGAAAACTACAAGTGTAGTTAATGAAATTATAGCTCAAAGAAACGCTCTCACAACAAGCTTAATCAATAAAAATGGTGAAAGTATTGAAATCAAACACACATTATTTTTGACTATGGTTGACGGGAAAGTGGCTCAAGTTTTGTCAGAAACTTCATCAGGTGCTGTATGTACTATTTGTGGTGCAAGACCTACAGAGATGAACAATTTAGAAAAAGTACAAAATAAACCTGTTGACGAAAATTCTTATCTTCTTGGCTTGGCTGGATGGCTTTCGACTTTACATTGCTGGATTAGATTCATGGAACTAATTTTACATATATCTTATAATGTAGGCTTTGAAAAATGGTCTGCTACAACGACAGAAAATAAAGATTTGAAAAAACAAAAGAAGACATATGTACAAAGAAGGTTCAGAGAAGAACTTGGTTTAAATATAGATAAACCTAAGCAAGGTTCTGGTAACAGTAATGACGGTAATACAGCTAGACGATTTTTTCAAAATTATCAGTGCACTGCAGAAATTACCGGTGTGGATGAGGAATTGATAAAACGATTTTATGTTTTACTTCAAGTTATGTCTAGCGGAAAAGTAATTAATGCTACGAAATTTGGACAGTATGCTTTCGATACAGCACAACGATATGTTAGTAAATATATGTGGTATTATATGCCATCATCTGTCCATAAAGTCCTAATTCATGGGGAAAGTGTAATTCGGCATTATTCAGTGTTACCTCTTGGACAGCTCTCCGAAGATGCCCAGGAATCAAGGAACAAAGACTATAAACGATTCAGACTTCATCATGCTAGAAAATGCTCTAGAGTAGCTACAAATGAAGACGTTTTACATACACTTTTGTACACTTCAGACCCTTACATAACAAGTTTAAGAAAACCTTCCAATAAAAAGTCTATGAAACTTATAGATGAAGCTGTAGAGCTAGTAGAATAATATAATTCTATGTTATTTTCTTTTTCTTATTATATTTAATTAATAAGAGTAATTTTATGTGTTTATTTTGTATTAATTATAACATTTAGGTCACATTGTTTAAAATTAGTCGTAAATTTATGATAATTTTTCAATATTTCATGTTTTGTACTTTTTTACAATTATTAAATATATTTTTATATGCATAGACTGTATATTATTTTAAAGTACGTTTATCTCAGATTGCCTACCTTGGTATGTCAAGGTTACGAGCTAATGCTCTCGTACTTGTACTACTATTACGATGCACTTCTTCCAGTATGATTTCCCTGCGTTCCTGATCAACCCTCTGAATGCCTTCACCGCCACGTTGGCCAGCAATGCGGCCTGCCATTAATGTATTGTGAGTATTAATGAACACACGATAGTCAGGGTAATGATCAGGTTGCGTTCCGCCTCGGCGTTGAAATTGATCCCTGTAGAGTCTTGCTGCTTTACGACCGTTGCCTTGTGCAACTCCGTAGAAATAATGCATTTCTGCATATTCACTCAGAGTGTCGGGCATCACTAACACTTCCAAGTAACTACAGTCCAAATCGTTAGGCACAACGGAATCCAGTAACAAGCAGGGGTCAAACAAGTAAGCAGCGGCGGTATCAGTAGGCAAATAGTGGTCGAGAAAAAACGGCAGAACAAGACGAATAGTAGCAAACACAGAGTACGACTGAGGGACGGAACGCAGATGTACTCATTGGTAGCGTCAACGTCTCACTCAAACTTGTTTTTAATTTACTGAACTACTGTAACCCACAGACACAAACTAGAGAGAGTGAGATAGGAACATTTTTTACCTGAACCTTTTTTTCATGGTTAAAATCACAACAATGAAATCATACCAGTGTTTCTAATTAAATGTATGCATCTAGAAACTGGAAGAATTAGAATTTAAGTCACTAACAACTGTGTTTTCCTCAAATCCATCATACATGAGAGAAAGGCAAAGATTTAAATAAAAGAAAATAATTATTTTTTTTCCTTGAAAAATGCCTTAATTTACTTCAGAACCAGAAACGTCCAACAGAATGAGAAAAAATCGAAAACTGATGTTAGGTGAAAATTACGAAAAAAATCATTAAAAAAATTTATAACTCGAAAACTACGTAAAATCGTAGAACATACCGAGCCCTTACCGCCAAATTATCGTAAGCGACACTCGCCAAATTATCGTAAGCGACACTTTTGTCGAAATGCGTTTTTTGTGGAAACTAATATTTTAAACCGTAACGGACCCATCTCTGTTGATATTTCCCTCCAAAAGAACACCGTTATAATATAATAGAGGGAAATATCAACAGAGATGGGTCCGTTACGGTTTAAAATATTAGTTTGCACAAAAAACGCATTTCGACAAAAGTGTCGCTTACGATAATTTGGCGAGTGTCGCTTACGATAATTTGGCGGTACGGGCTCGATACATGGGGGTGATTTGGATACTCCTCATAATCCAGGCAACGAATGCTCAAAAACAGGTATAGAGGGAAATGCTTGGAACACAATTTTTGACTTCGTAACTTTGTTAGGACTAGTTAGGAGGTAAACATATCAAAAGTCCCCACCCGTAGCCCTTAAGCCGGGGGGAAGGGGGGGGGGGGGGGGGATTGAAGGTCCCATTTTTAGGTTTTTCGCATATATCTCGGAAACTATGCATCCTAGCGACATGAGACTTTGACGAAAGTGAAAGCTGATTAAATTTGCTACAAGTCTTATTCAGTCAAGTTTTTTGATATCTTGTATAGTTTTCGAGTTATTCGCTCTTGAAAGTCTGTAATTATGGAAAGAAAAAATTGCCCCTACTTCCTGGGTATGCTGTTTTACTGCTCCCTCGGTGGGAGGAAGACAAGAGATATCAGGCTTGATGGTGGCCACTGATTTCAGAATGACTTGTACCTGTAGGCATTGAGGGAAATCTCTTTCGCCACAATTCAAATACCACCTTAAGATACAGGTTTCACCTGCCTTTTGTACTTGAGCGGTGGTGGAGAAAGGGTGTGAAAAGACCGCTACCGCTTTCTGGATTTCTGGTGACTTGATAATGTCTCTGGTCTCTGGGAAGGGAGGAAATTTCTCAAACCAATCGGTGAGCTTGGCAATGTCAGCTCCATCCTTGTTTTGGCGGGCTTGTCCGAAATCTGCATGCTGCTCACTGGTGGAATCAACAACCCTACGGCCGGCATTGTTGAAGAGTTATCCGGTCAAATAGAGCAAAAATGTAAAGCATTTTTTTTTTATAAGACTTTTAAGAGCGGATATCGCGAAAACTATACAAGATATCAAAAAACTTGACTGAATAAGACTTGTAGCAAATTTAATCAGCTTTCACTTTCGTCAAAGTCTCATGTCGCTAGGATGCATAGTTTCCGAGATATATGCGAAAAACCTAAAAATGGGACCTTCAATCCCTTCCCCCCAGCTTAAGGGCTACGGGTGGGGACTTTTGATATGTTTACCTCCTAACTAGTCCTAACAAAGTTACGAAATCAAAAATTGTGTTCTAAGCATTTCCCTCTATACCTTTTCGTTGCCTGGACTATCATCAAAAAGTATCTAAATTTTACGCTTGAACGTCAACTCCCCGGCCACCCTGTATTTGACGACCTCCATGGCCAAGTGGTTTGTACGCCGGGTTTCATGGTGTCGTCGACTCGAGAGGTCCCGGGTTCGAATCCCGGTGGGGGCAGATGTTTGTGTGATGAATACCAGTATTTGTACTAGTCATGGATGTTTAATATGTATTTCTATATAAATATACTTATATATGAACAGTATAACTGTATTCTATCCGTTACCCTAGTATCCCATAACGCAAGCCTTATAGGGCTTACGTTGGGGCTAGGCTAATTCGTGTCAGTGTTGGAAATATTTATTATTTATTTATTACTATTGTCGCAATCATTTCAAAAGGCCCTACGTAATATTTTTGTTTTTTTACAACCTACAAATAGGAAGCATTTTTAAAAACATATATTTGTGATGAATCTATATATATAAAAATGAAACCCGTTTTCCGTTGTCACGACATAACATGAAAACGGCTTGACCGATTTGGCTGATTTTTTTTTGTAGTTTTCTAATACTCTGTACAAGGTTCTTAAGGAAAAATATATAAAGAAAAATAAAAAAATTGAATAGGTACTCATACATAAGATAGGTCAGCTATACAAAATAAAGTAGTGCATCAAAGCTACGCTAAGGCGGTACGAAGTTCGCCGGGTCAGCTAGTTTTCTATAAAAACCAGTGTCAATTTAATAAAATGCCATATTTTGGTATTGTGTTTTGGTTATGAAAGTTATGAAATTTTACGATAATAAGTGTTTTAAAGGACTATGGGCAAAAATGTATGGACGTCCGGCACAGCTTATATTACATTTGTTTGAAAAGAATTATAGTCATGATCATCTGTGCCTAAGCGTATCAAATTCCATCCCGAGGGTCTTTAGTTATTTTAAGTTAAATAGGTACAAGTACTATAACGAACGAACACTAATGAAACAAGGGAATTAATATAGTTTGTTTGTTTGACCCCACATTGAGAGCTCAGGTAATATGGGATTACTTCACAGGATGCATGGGTGCCCCTTAATGGCATTCTGCCGCGCTAGAGTACATCCAAAAATCCCCGAATGGGTTGGGGTTTTTTCAAACAGTCTGTTCCTCATAGTAAATTGTCTTCTATGTAAAACGGAGCGACCTCAAATCACACAAACTTGTCCACGGTTCGGAGAAAACATGATTCCAGTTCATCCATACTAATTGACAAAACCGATAATCTTGTTCCAATGTCCTAAGCGTGTTAGATAAAAATGGCGCTGGAGATAAGCTGACAAAGTGACCAGCCCTCAGTGTATGTGTACGATGATGGCTCACCTCGGGCTGGGCTGCGAGACGGGACTGTGGGCGAGTGGCGGTGTTGGGGGCGGCGGCGCTGGAGATAAGCTGGCAAAGTGACCAGCCCTCAGTCTGTATGTGTACGATGATGGCTTACCTCGGGCTGGGCTGTGAGACGGGGCTGTGGGCGGGCGGCGGGGGCGGGGGCGGCGGCGCTGGGGATAAGCTGGCGAAGTGCGCCTGCGCTGGGCCCGACTCCGAGCCCTCAGTCTTGGCCTACGCAATAAAAACTCATAACATTGTCCATGGGTTGGATTCCATGGGTCAGGAGGTCAGGGTAGGCAACGGCGCGGGTGATATTTTTAGTATTGTAAGTCAAACGTCTATAGGCTTTGGTGGCCGCTTACCATCAGTCAGCTCATAAGCTTGTTTGTCACCATTTTTACATAATACAGGGTGTATAAAAAACCTTTAACGAAGTCGAAAGCCACGTATTTTCCACATCATGACGATTTTTTTTTCTGGACCATACCTTTATAGCTATGGAGATATTGAAGGTCAAAGTAAAATATTTTTTTCGAGAAAGAAACTTTTTTACTGACGCACGGCACATTCTTTGCGTAGCGCCACAGTAGCGCGCCGCGCTATACATTGCGTATTGGAAATATTTTTGAATTTTTTTAACTTAAAAATACAAATGAATACCCACGTATAATATTCTGTAATATAACTTGTTTGGGTGTACAGAATGCGTAGTTTTAGTCTTTGTCATGGGATTTTTTACATCCTGTATATTTTTCAAATAACGTCGTTGTGCTTGCAAAAAAAAGCTTATGTATGTTTATCACTTATTCGTCACAACTAAGGCTAAGATAACACAGCACAGCTCGCGTAGAATGTGAAATTGTAGGTACGCGGGCGCGCCCGGGACGCTATTACTCTCAGATGTGGCGGTGATGGTGTTCAAATTGGAACTGTAGGATATCCAAGTTACTCCAAATGCAAGTCATCGTTCCACTTGTAATTAAAATGATAAATGCTCAAAACAATCAACTATTTAACTCTTGCAAAAATAATTATTTTAAAAATACCTTTTTGATAATCTTGTCCAACGATTCAGATTGTGTTTCATTCGCGGGATGAACTCCTTCCCACAAGCTTGTTGGTGGATTAACTTCAGGAGGCTAGAAAGAATTATTTCAGACCGATTACCTATTATTCAAGATACGAACGCATTAAATCATATGTACCTACATGTTTTTTTTTCAGATTTCATTAAATTTGGATAGAAGCTGGGATTGTGAACTACTGTTGTAATACGTAATCTTTGATCTTGACTTATTAGTTTTTCTGCCAAGTGTAGGATCGTCAAACCTTTACTCACGTGGAATACCACAACAATTATTCTTTATAACAATTGCAGTTACGTAATCTCAGTTCCATTAGATTTGGATCTTCGAGATTCGAAACAAAAAAAGAATATTGCGGATAATACCATGCATTTGACACAACAGCGCCTTCTAATTGTAAATAAGGTCATAACGAACTATACTCTATTCAACTTCCTTTGTGCCAAAAAGAAAACAAACCCTAAAAAGGCATTTCCATATATCTAATTTTATATATATCATCATCAGCCTATTAATGTCCCCACTGCTGGGGCACAGGCTTCCCTATGGATGGAATAGGGAGATTGGGCCATGACCCACCACGCGGGCCCAGTGCGGGTTGGTGGGTGCTAACGACTGCAGATGCAGCCGGGACCAACGGCTTAACGTGCCTTCCGAAACACGGAGGAGCTCGAGATAGTAAATTATGGTCACCCATCCAATGACCGACCACTGCGAAAGTTGCTTAAATTCAACGATCGCTGCGGAACGCGCTAACCACTTGCGCCATCGAGCTCCTCTAATTTTATATACAAAGTAAAAATAAAATATATTAAAAAAGTGACATAAAAAGGAGATAAAATGTACCTATTTTCAAACTTTGAATGCAGTAAATACGGTAATAATAAGGTTTTTCTAAGTCTAATTTAATATATATATAAAATCATAATTAAAAAAGTGACATTAAAAAGAGATAAAACTGTACCTATTACCAAACTTTGAATGAATATATACTACTAAATTGAAGAGTAGTGATAAAGCTTATTTCACATTTCAACTTACGTTGAAATGTGAAATTTTGTGATCAGTCTGGTAACACCGGCCATCTTTACTCTTGATAAAAAAAGTTTTGGAAACATTGGTTTATCTGTATACCTTTGGGCTCAAAGGAAGTTGAATAATAATAGTTATCACAAATTACCGATGGTCGAGTATTAACGTCACCTTTTGCCATGACTTTATTATTTACTAGCAGCCACCCGCGACTACGTACGCATGGAGTTAGATATTTGCACATACTTTTTGACCTCAAAAGGGTTCACGGCTCGTTCCCCGTAAGTGACAGCTTGATAACATGTAGCCTCTATGTTGACCCGACTTCTTAATAATATTCGTGCCAAATTATCCCAGACATACATACAGACAAACAGACAAAAATTCTAAAAACTATATTTTTGGCTTCGGTATCGATTGTAGATCACACCCTAATTATTCTTTAAAAAAATAATCAATGTACAGTTTGGCTTTCCAACCGTTTTATTATATGTACAGATAAATTACCCCTGACAAAGGTGCGGTGTATTCGATCTGTGTGGTGGGTGTGTTGGCAGCCGATACCGCCTTCCTCTTCTTGGTTTGCTTAGCATCCATCGCTTCGGTGTTGGTGATCACCGACTCTTGGTAAGCGTGCTTCGTAGAAGGAGCGTGGACGACTGATGTTGTTGCAGCAGTACTGTGAAGGTTAAACGATGGTATATAAACACATCAAAATAGTCTTAGCAACATGCATCATTTACGCAAACTGAAAGTTTTACCAGTTGTTAACGTTATTGAAATGAAATGAAATGAAATGAAATGAAATGAAAAGTCATTTATTCAGTCTAGGCTGTTACAAGCACTTGTGAAGGTCAAGAAGCTACGCCATCGACCAAAACTACGGCGGGAGACCTTGTACTGAGAAGAACCGGCAAGAAACTCAGCAAGGGCTGTTTTTTTCTCCCTGTATTGTTATATACAGAGTCGTCAAGTTTAAAAATGACTTCAGAGATACGTCTGAAGTCACCTTCCATTACATCATTTAGAATATAAATATATAGTTACAATAAATTTTATGGTTAACAATATATTTAGTATATAGGAAGCGGCGTTAGATAGGTACAATATTACTGTTATGAAAAATGACTAATACCTATTAAACAACAAATTATAAGAAACACTATGACCATGCATTACGATCATTCAGATAATCATCAACTTTACTTATGCATAAGAGTACTTTTGATCTGAGATTTAAATTTAGTCAGTGGAAGCTCAATCAGATTTAGGGGAACTTTATTAAACAATGCAATACTACAACCCAGAAATGAACCTCTTGATTTTTGGAGTCTGAAACATGGAACGGCAAGCTTGTTCTTAAATCTCGTGTTAAAGATATGGGTTTGACTTTTTTTTGCAAATGCATCATAGTTTTTTCTTACATATATTAAATTTTCATAAATGTATTGCGACGCCAGTGTTAAAATATTATTTTTTTTAAATTTTTCTCTAAAGGATTCTCTTGCCTTTAAATTGTATATGGCGCGAACAGCTCTCTTTTGCAGTATGAAAATACTTTCGATATTAGCGGCTGAGCCCCACAACAAAAGGCCATATGACATAACACTATGAAAGTAACCAAAGTAAAGTAATCTTGCCGTTTCCACATCAGTTAAGAGTCTTATTTTTTTAACAGCGAAAGCTGCAGAGCTCAATCTACTTGACAAGGCATCAATATGAGGATCCCATTGCAGACGAGCAGAGTATTGTTATGAAACGTATAATTCAAATATTTTCTTGCTTTAGTCACCAATAAATCAAATTGGTAATAATTAAAAAAAGAATAATAGTATTAATTATATAAAAAGTCATAATAAAAGTTCAATAAAGTTCATGTTGCTTCGATGAGTATATTTTAAGTCCACCATCAATTGAATTCTCGTGTATTATACAGTAGCTAGTAACATATTAACCAATATTTTTTTATATTCACAATCACTAAATATCTCCTAAGGCCTTTAATATTGAGACATATTATTGCAGCAAGTGCAACCCCAAAAAAAACAAAATAATGCAATGTTATATTTACTTGACGTTGACCACATTAGCGCCTGCGCTAGAAGGCGGCTTGGGGAAGGTAGAACACACCGCATACTGGTTATTAAAATTAAAAGGAGATGTCCTGTATTGGGCTATAGTAACTAACTTGCATATATTAAATGTAATTAATTAGAGGGCCCTAAAAGTAACTTATTTGTGTAAGTCATTTAATTTTCGAGATTACCGTTTTTTATTAATTCGTACTTTAGTTTCATGAAAATGCAATTACGTTTAACGGCATAATGACACATTTTCTTGCAAAAAATGATCAAAAATCAAATAAAAAATCTAAGAATACACATATTTGAATAAAATAACCTAATATTCTTTTATTTTGAGAAGTTTTAACTAACGAAGTCTAGGGAGTTAGGCACTGCAAGTTACTAAATTCATGTGAACTAAAGCCAGTAAAAAAAAAGTCAACTGACAGGTGACAAATCCAGTTGAGAAAGCCAATACGCCCGTAATTAAAAACAAGAAAAATCACACGCACGAGAGAGCAGAAAATTCAACTCAACGAAAAATGCTTGACAGTGACAACCACTAGCCGTAGCCACAGATTAGTACAAAACCATGTTTATAGTGCTGCCATTAGTATTTTTTTTTTATTTAAGTAATACGTTTTATTTATTTAAAAATAATTGGGGGTGGCTAAAATAATTTGTGCATTGCTTTTATACTTCATATTTTTATGGCTTTTAATTAAATGTAGTTTGGTGTTCGTTAGTTTACTTTTATAACAAAAAACCAAGCTCCTTGTAAAAAGAGGACATCTCCTTTGGGACATAGGGGCTGAAATTTTTATGGAGTTGGCTTATAATTTGCTTTACAAAATATCTAAATACCATATAATATATAAAAAAATCGTGTCACGGTGTGGGTAATTGAGCTACTCCGAAACGGCTCGACCGATTTTCGTGAAATTTCATATGCATATTCAGTAGGTCTGAGAGTCGAACAACATCTAGTTTTCATCCCCCTAAATGTCCACCCTTAATTTTAGACAAAAATGGCTATTAAGATATTTTTTCCTAAGCACATTAATAACTATCACCATTAAAAAATTGAGCCACTACGACCCAAATTAAAATTATAAGAACTAGTGTGCAATGGTGCCTATTGATGACTCCCATAGATTCTGGTGGCTTGCTTCCAGATGAGATGATGACGGCGTCACGTTTGAACTACAATAGCACAGGAATTTTCAATACTTACTACTACTTACTTTACGCTTGGAACCGGTGTGGGGACGGGAGAATGCGCCATCGCACTATGGTAAATCGAGGTGTGTTTCAGATCAACATTGAATTTTTGCACAAGCATAGAGAATTAATAAGGCGTCAGATAAAGTTCAGATACTATACTTTTATTAGAATACACATATATGAGTAAAGATTTATATGTAAATTAAAAGTTTAAAAAAATGGCCTTTAAATTATTTCCTTAGGGATTATCATCATTATTTATATTATGAATAAAATCTTATGATTATTCATACTTATTTCATAAAATATTTGAAGTTACTACTAATATAATACATAAGTAAATATTAATTTATAAGTAACATGAATAATAAAAAAATAATGTCCAAAATGAGTTCGTTCACTTTAAGAAGATCTAGGGTAATCTTCATCAATTGTGTATGTACAAAACCCTATTATGTTTTTCTAAGACATCCAGTCTTTTAAGTATGGATCTGATGTGTAGAGAAGAGTATGAAATACATCCTGTTTTTTTGTAGCTGATCGAGAGCATTCCTGGCATTATAAAGGCAATTAAAAAAACCTTATTACGGGATTCGTGCGTATTCTCTGAAAGTTAACCAATAGGAAACACAGTAAAATTCTTAATGATAATTTCACCATGAATTAAAAATTTGGTTATGAAGGTGGGCATGTACAGATTCTAGCAGTTTCGATTTGTCAAATTTCAGTCACTTTCGTCATTAATTGTCAGTCCATTAATTTGCCGTAAAGTAGCTCCACAAATTGTACATGTGGAACCAGTAGGTGTATCCGTTAATACTCGAGCTACTTTGCCATCTAGTTCGTGCTTCTCACTCACTCCTTCACCTTCTTCATTAATCGATGATGGTGCTTAGACTTTTATTTGATTTTTTATTTCATTCACAACAACTTTAGTTATTTCAGAAGTTTCTTTGCTAAATCCTATTGATATTAGTAGGCCGACAAAAAAGGACTGACTAAGGCACTGGATTGTGCCTGATAATTTTTTCAAAGGTTTTAATTAATCATATTTTTTTGACAATATCGCCCGTTAGCTCATTGATAAATTTGATAGGCACTAAAGATATAACAAAAAAATGAGCACTTGAAACTGTTGAAGAGTTTCAAGATTTTTTCCTCCTTCAAAATATGAAAGTAATAATTCACGCTTAGGGAACACTTGAAAGTTGTATCGTTTTGAAAATCAGCAAAGTCAAACTTCTGTTTAGTATTAATAATAGTGATATTAAATAAATCCACTCTTTTTATATTATTTAATAATACAGGGTAGTGCGCTTTTTTTTGATTAATATTGTACCGCAAAATGTAGATAAAACACCCTACTATGCTTTTTTTATTATTATTATTTACAATCAGTCTTTGGACTATAAGCAAATTTATTAAGCGCAACCAAACATGACAGGAGTGGTCGGCCAGCGCCCCCACTTCCTTTAAAGAACATTCTTCCTCTTCAGTCTCGCAAAGCGGTCAGCTTGCTCAAGCATTTGGCATATTAGAGGATTTGGATGGTTTGAGAGGCGCTCAGTATACCTCGATTTGCACTTGTCTATCTTTTCTGCGACAGTGGTCATGTTAAGTATTCATGAATTTCGTCATTTTTGTATACGAGAAGCTTGTTGTCAATTGACAGGGCAGAGTTGCGGTTCATAAGCCAATGAAGGTCTCTATATTTTATATTGACCTCATCTCTCTGTTTCTTTATGTGCTGCTTCTAGGTGAGTCTCCTATCCAAGTGGAAGCCTAGATACTTGACGCAATCTGAGTGTGGGAGTGTGTCCGATCCAAGGTGAATAGGAGAACAGTTTCCCTTCCTTAGTGCAAACGTAATGTCGTTTGATTTTTGGCCACTGACTCGAATACGCCATTTTTTCAGCCATGCGTTTGTTCGATCTAATAGGTTCTGTAGCTTTGCACTAGCTGTGTCAGGATCTTTATCGCAGGCAAGATATGCAATGTCATCAGCGTATGTAGCAACTACAGCGTCGCCAGCAGTGGGAAGGTCGTACGTGAATATGTTATATGATACGATCCTTGCGGGACTCCAGCCTCTACAGCTTGCAAGGTAGATCGTGAGTCACCGACCTTAACCCTGAAGTATCTTTGTGACAGGTACGATGCAATTATGAGGTAAATCGAGGGTGGCAGATTCTTTTTGACCTTGTACAAGAGACCCTTGTGCCAAACCTTGTCAAACGCCTGTTGCACATCTAGGAAAGACGTCGAGCAGTATTCTTTTCTCTCATAGCAATTTCTCACTGTGTTATATACACGATGCATTTGTTCTATGGTGGAGTGGGATTTTCTAAAACCAAATTGATATGTGGGGATGAGGTCACATTTATACAGGCAAAATTTAAGGCGAGTAAGAAATATCTTTTCCAACAATTTAGAGAGTGTAGGCGTCAAGCTAATGGGTCTGTAGGATGTAGGCTCATATAAAGATTTTCCTGGTTTGTGTATCATGATGACTTCAGATATCTTCCATATGGCTGGCAAAGAAGACGTCTTAAATATGGCGTTAAACAGTCATGCCAGGGAGATGATACATTTTCTAGGAAGTTCTTTTTTAAGACCCGTGTTGAAATGAGGTCGAAAACAGGGGCCTTTATCGAATCGAGTAATTTAATTTATCTTGCAATTTCTTTTGGAGAGGCAGGTGTCAGGGACAGGTATAGCTGGAGATCCTGACCAAGCACCGTTTCAACCTCAGTTTCATCCTCTAGAGCATCGCTAGGCTTAAAAGTTGTGGCAAGATGGGTAGCGAAAACTTCAGCTTTCTCAGCATTTGTTTTTGTACAGGAAGTAGAAGAAGATCTAATGGGCGGAGTGCATTGCTTTGGTTTGCAAACGATCCTCGTGTTCTTATAGAGAGAATATTCGCCTTTACCATGTGGTGACATACTTTCCAATTTTTGTTTGATATTGGCATTTCTTGTTGTCTCTAGAACTAACTTTAGGCCTTCTACAGCGCGGTTAAACACCTTTTTATCGACCTCTCTTCTAGTTTGGTGCAATATTATTCGCAAAGGGCACTTTTCCAAAATTTTCTTTTTTATTTCAGAAGAAACTATTATGTTTTGTGGGGCCAGCTCAACATACGGAATGCTTTTCCAAGCAGCAGTCTGAATCACATTTGTGACATGCACACAAGCAGCATCCACATCTTCTTGGGATTTAAGTGGTATCCTAGAGTCAAGATTGGTATCTATATAAGAACAAAAGTCGGTCTTAAGATTGGTCAAAGTTTCAGACTATTTTTCAGACATAATGACAGATGAGCTCAATGTAAATATTACCGGTATATGATCAGATCTCCCATCTAAGCTAGATTCCACGCAGGTATATAATTGACTTATGTTTTTAGTGACGAAGAAGTCAAGGAGATCAGCCCCTCTAGCATGACCACCGAAACGGGATATGATAAAGCGATTTATCGACACTAACTGTCAGACTACTGTCAAACTCCATAGTAGTCTGACAGTTAATGGCGATATATCGCTTTATCATATCCCATTTCGATGGTCATGCTAGAGGGGCTGGAAGTCTATATTTGTCTACTGGCCAGTAGCTGGGTTCTCCGGTAGTCCCTACTATGAATAAATAACTAATATTTTATAAAATATACAGCAAACTAATAAATTCTACAGTTCAACATTATAAACTACGATATATAGAGGTTTTCTGTTTCCTGACCTGCGTCATACTTTAGTGATAAATCTGACTTTTCCCTCTCATTTGTTGCATTTTTTTACGTACAATGAGCTTTTAGGAAATGAATAACACTTTATAACTGTTCCCACAAATTTGTGGAAGAAATGAATTTTAAAGTATTGAAACGAACAGACCTGAAATATAACATACTTAAGCATTACACTTTGTGGTATTAATATATATATTCCTACATAATATTAAAGTTCTTCTCCTATACTATTCAATAAACTTTATGAAGTTCGTCAGAAACGTTATAAGTAAAATCGAATATTGATATGACGTTTCCATTGTGCGGCGCCGTATTTATGATACCTAAAGATTCTGGTGGCTTTCTACACGATAATATGGCTTCTCTTGGGAACTATACTAGCACTGGAAACTTACTTGGCATTGGCCACAAGTCGCCATTTTGCTGACTCACGGATTCTGGCGGCGTCCTTCTTTGTAATACGGCATCTCTTAGGAACTATATTAGCACAGGAGACTGACAATACTTACTTGCTATAAGCCACAGTAGCGCCTGCGCTTGAAGTTGGCGTGGGGACGGGAGACGATGCCGGCGCCGTATTAAGGACTTCTGCAGATTCTGGTGGCTTCCTCCCCTGTAATATGACGATATTAACACTGGAAACTGGCAGGTGATACTTACTTGGCATTGGATACAGTAGCGCCTGCGTTGGAAGTTGCCGTAATGCTGACTCCCATGGATTCTGGTGGCGTTCTTCGCTGTAATACGGCATCTCTTGGGAATTATATTAGCACAGGAGACTGACAATACTAACTTGCCATAAGCCACAGTAGCGCCTGCGCTTGAAGCTGACGTGGGGACGGGCGACGATGCCGGCGCCGTAATAAGGACTTCTGCAGATTCTGGTTGCTTCCTCCCCTGTAATATGACGATAATAACACCGGAACTGGCAAGTGATACTTACTTGGCATTGGATACAGTAGCGCCTGCGTTGGAAGTTGCCGTAATGCTGACTCCTACGGATTCTGGTGGCGTCCTTCTTTGTAATACGGCATCTCTTGGGAACTATATTAGCACAGAAGACTGACAATACTTACTTGCCATAAGCCACAGCAGCGCCTGCGCTTGAAGCTAACGTGGGGACGGGAGACGATGCCGGCGCCGTATTAAGGACTTTTGCAGATTCTGGTGGCTTCCTCCCCTGTAATATGACGATATTAACACTGGAAACTGGCAAGTGATACTTACTTGGCATTGGATACAGTAGCGCCTGCGCTTGAAGCCGCCATAGGGACGGGAGATGATGCCGGTGCCGTATTAATGACTCCAACGGATTCTGGAGCCTTACTTCCAGGTGAGCTGGATGGCAGCGTTGCTTTAGAACTACCACTAGGCGTTGACCCCCCAGAGGCTACGGAAAATATGACCGTACTTTTTTAATACACATTTTGTACTATTGTAGACCCACTTGCCAGAAAATGCATTACCAATTTCATTACCTTAATTTTTATTTACTAGCAAAATTCAACTCGGCGTAGATATAAGGATGGATAATAATATTTTTTACCAACATATACAAGTTTCTTTTAAGTTATTTTAAAAGTCAAGTTATGCTAATTTTATCGAAAACAAATCTACTGCGTAAGGTCAAACGTGTCAAGTATCTTTGCACAATATTAATATTCTCGATATTAAAAGGTTCTAAGTGGAACTATGGAGTCCAAAGAAAATTTTGCTGTTTTGTCAATTTCAAGCGAATTTTCGGGCAAATGGTTCAATAATCAATTTAGTTTGGCGTAGGGGCATAGCCCAAACAGCTGCTTTTTGAACTCAACCTGGATCACACAATTCATTGTACCTATCGCAATGAAAAAATGTTAAAATCTCTCTTATTACAGATAAATCGTTTATAACCATTAGGTATATTCGAGTTCTTTATTAGGGCCTAAAATCGTTAACTTATTTTGCAGCAGAGTGGTGTCGATTCTGGCATAATTCTCTAAACTTGAACTAAAATTAACATCGGCCTCTCCATTTTATTCTGTATACAGAATGACAAGGCAACATTGTTGACAAATTAAATTTTAGGTTTATTGAATCTTATTCACTATATATTTCTATTTGTCAGTGTTAATGGTCAATAAATTATTTCTTTCTTTCTTTCTTTAATCATGCCAAAATCGACACCGATGTTTACCTTTATTGGCCGGCGCCAGCGCCTGCGCTTGCGTTTGTTCGGGGGGCGGGTGCTGCGGCGACGGCGCTGGCGTACTAGTCTTACTGCCGGTGCCTCCGTCGCCCGCTGAGGAACCCCGCCTCGAAGGAGAGGGCTTTTTCTTCTCCGATTGGTGCAGTTTGCTAGCTGTTCCGCCATACATTAAACGTGTTTATTTCTTATCCTAATAGATAAGGACCTATATTTTTGGTAATAAAAAGAACCCCGTATGATACGAAAATGAAACTGTGTCTATATTGATCAATATTATAATTACTGCGCCAAGAATTTATTCAACATTATTAACACAATAGTGATATTTTAATAAACGTTGTCTCATTTCAATATAACAATACAATATGGTTTTAATATTTTTTGGTAATGATCCGATATCATGTTGTAACAGTATACTCAGCAGTCAGAACGAAATCTGTTCAATTTCAGGTATAATGGACATAAATAAAAAAAAAACATTATTTGGTGGCATGCATTCTGCTATATCTACATCGAAACTCGGGAATTTGATGTCCGATCACTTTAACGCGTTCAATATGGTAATACGGGAATGGGCTTAAAGAAACATTTGATAATTAAGTATGAAGTATGCGCTAAAAGGTTTTGAGACGGTCACTTTTATTAGTCTTTACACAGTATACAGATAAATATGAAAATTTATAATGAGCAATTTGTCAAATTATAGAGACATATGTGAAAATAATACAAATCTTTAAGTCATTCGCATACCTCGCAGAACAGTATAGTTGATTTCGCATAGCTATACATAAAAAACTACTTTGTGCTTCTACAGCATGCAGTGCAAGTACAGACAGTCAAGTTACTCGTATCAGTAAAATTTCTCTAATTGACAATGAACTTTATTTTGCTTGATACAAGATTAACAATCAATTGATAAAACTTTTAACTAGTAACTTGATGTGTTCACGACAGTTTGAAATCAACAGACAGCCTTCAAACAAGGGTTTCTCCAGCGTTAATATTAATTAAATTGCTTGCATTTGCTGTTAACTGTTAAGTTACTGGTGGAAAACCCCTAGTCTGGCGGAACTACTTCACGAAGATCACATTAAAATACTAGGAAAACATGAGTGTATCAAGTAAGGATAGATTGCATCCATAGAATACAAATTGGAGTGAGCGCAAAAGCGATCGTGCGGCAAACAATAATAATATGTACGATTCTCACCGGCTCGCGTCGGAGCGAAGCGCATCGCATATTACAATTTGCTAAAGTAAAAGTAGTTAAGTTCCATTTACATGAACTTCAAACAACTATGAAGCCGACTGACTGCGCTTGAAGTCTGCTACAGCCGCGCTCGGTTCCGCATGCAAATAAGGAACTTACCTACTTCGTGGATGTTTAAATCTGAAGAAAACTTTACTAGAAAAAATACCACGCGGACAAGGCAGCAGACGAGACTCGAACCTGCACCCACCGCTATCCGGGCGGATGCACTGACCATTAAGGTCATAGCTTAGCTTAACCACCCGGCACGCCGTCTACTCATGGACGCTGTCAACCAGTTTACGTCATGTGGGCCACGGGTGGACGCCTCGTTGTCAACCAGTGGTCGACGGATGAACGCCGCGCTGCCTCGTATTGACTCCGCTATTTGGTTCAATTCGTAACTCAACTCGAGCTTAAATAGCGAGGAATACACAAAACTACACCGGCACTATCACGCAACCACACAACACGAGTGACATTTGACACATGTCATGGCATATTTAAAAACGTGACGTCATGTAGGGCAATATTAAATTACCGCCGGAACTAAAGGTGTCATTAGCCTGTCAACAACCAACGGCCGGCACATGGAGACCTTTATGCTACCGCGGCCCCAATGGCTGTGTCGAATTATTTCTCGTATTTCTTAGACAGCGCATGGTCCGCGTAGATTATTTTCTAGTATAATTTCCTTAAGATTTGAACAATCAGCAGTTCAATGCTTAAAAAATAAAAATATAACTACTTTGTAGATGTTTCAATTTCCTTCAGAAAATTGTAAGATGCGCGGCGCTGTTCTGCGGCGCCGTACATTAAAGTGAGAACCGTACATTAATTCTAACTGCCTCCGCCACAGAGATCACATAAATTGACAAGCTGCTGAGTTATTCCCGATAATGAAAACACGAAAATCCAAGCTAGATCGCATATTCATATTGGGAATAACACATGTCATGTGTGATGTACATGTATGAACTACGACATATATATTTACATCAAGTTCGGAACTAACTCTTTTCCGAAGACTTGTGTTTGCGTCCAATTAACGGCAGGTTGAACATCTCCAGTATATCTGCAGCGGGTTGTTTAACAGCATTCACAATTAATATATAAATAAAGAAAAAGATATATAAATCTATACAAGCTTTATATTAAAAAACTAGGTTTAGTCTTGGTTATTATATTTATCTACCGATCTAAGTGCAAATTTTGAAATTAAATAGCTATAAAAAAAACCTCTATTTTTACTACTTATTAAAAATATTAAAATACATAATATTTTGATTTTAAATAATCTACTTTAATTTGCATCAATTAAAAGTTATATTTACAATTTGAAACTATTTGGTATATATGCTCCCGGACACATCTATCGGCCCACCTATCATTTTAAATTTTAAACTATATGGTTTTGACGGTCCTTAGCTAAATATATATTAATATTGTTCAGCCTTATTTAATTATATTTAACAGGCCCTTAAAACTTATAACACTAAGTGGGCGTATAGATGTGTCCGGAAATGTATATGACGTGGCATAATTTTTTCGATATATCGAATTTTCGCAAAAATCCTAGGTATGGTTTGTAAACGCGGATAATTAGACAATGGCGATGACATTACTCAATCATACTGAAAAAAGATCGGATATTTGCGAATACGCAAGTCGCCTCGGTAAGATTTTCGAAAAGAATCGTTGGCTTATTATAAACATTCTTGGAACTTTGGGTTTTTGGTTTTTACACTAGGTTAGGTTAGGATATTGTTGGGATCATGAAAGCCACACCGAAAAAAAAATCGTTAATAGTAATATTTAGCAATATCATCGTCATTATCTTAATTATCCGAGTTTTCGCAAAATCCCTAGAACTTTCGCGTAAATTCAATTTATCAAATCGATTTGATCGATCGATCGTTGGGGAAAAAGTTTCTTCGAATTTTATATGAAAATTTTAAACATTTTTTAAAAAAAATTATTTACATTTAACTTTAGTATGTATGTATAGTATGTAGGCACTATTTTGTTCGATTACTTTTTGCCATCTTGTTGTAGGGATATGAACCCATTGCTATAGAAATTTTGGGGTTTCTGATCAAAAAACCACGACAAGTGGTTTTGACAATCCTCTGGTGATGTTTACCTGATACCGCCTAAAGAATTCTGTAGAGACCGAAACAAGTGGAAATCTGAAGGTGCAAGGTCAGGACTACACGGCGGATGCATTAATACCTCCCAGTCAAACTCTCTTAATTTTTGCTGAGTGGCTAAAGATGTGAAAAACCACACCCCTTCTATTTTTTTTTATTAGATCGTCAACATTTGTTACAATGTGTCATACATAATATACAAATCCCGTACTTAAACTTATTGTAAAAATTTTTTAGACGAACATAGCATGCATGATTATTTTGCTCTTAGCTAAGTATATTATTTAACGTTTAAAAGTAATACTAAAAACTATCAGCCCATAATGCAAATGAAGTTCGAAAAGAAAGAAGAAATTACATACAAATTGAGCCCAAATTAAGAAACTGGTTTTACGTATCCTGGTGCAAAGCAATGAAAAGTCGGCGATTCTTTTTACATGGAGCCGATACGTCCAAGAAGTTTTTTGTAAATATTACAAAGACGTGGGAACAGGTGGTTTTTCCCCGTACATACTTAGTTTTACGTAGCGGCAACACAAATAGCTTTTTGACAACACTACGAGGATAACGAAAAGGGAATCTAAACTTTATGTGTCTAAGTAATTGGGGAAAATCTATCTCATTTGTGAGTAACTTCATAAAGGATGACAAGTCCAGTAAATCACGGCGCTGTTCTAAGCTAAATTTGAAATGTTTCAGTCTGTTCTCATAGTATCTTAACATTTTGGCTGCCCCCTCAGCATATGCTAAGTGCCATGAGATTCGTTTTTGTATTCTGTCTATTCTTAATATATGTGTAGCGTAGTGAGGTCTGTAATATGTCGATCCATATTCAAGGATACTGCGAACTAAGCTATTAAATAAAGTTTTCTTAGTAACAGGCTGCTATTGATCAATTCTGGCCGCTTTCTCTCAACTTCTTAATTTAATCTCATCAGTTGTTCGCAGTAGAGTTCATAATCGATGGTCCTGTCTGGTGGTATCAGCTCATAATAAATAATGCCTTTCCAATTCCACCATACACACAGCATCGACTTGTTGGGAGTACGTGATCCACTTTTCATCACCAGTTATCAACTTCTTCAAAAATGGTTCGCTTTCATTACGTCGTAATAAAAAGGAATCACAAATGAGAACAGGTTCATTAGGTTTCTTTCAGTGAGCTCGTGAGGCACCCAAATATCGAGCTTTTTTGTGTACCCAACTGTTTTGTAGTTAATTCCCAGTTCTTCAGTTACGTCGTAAATACTGATACGTCGATCATGCTACACTTTTTCAAAAATGGCATCCATTTTATTCGAAACAGGGCGACCAGAGCAAAGTGCATCTTTGACATCAACATTTCCGGATTCAAAACGCTTAAACCAAATTTATGCTTCTCTCACTGCACTAGGTCCATAAACATCTTAATTTTTTTTCATTTCCGGATTCAAAACGCTTAAACCAAATTTATGCTTCTCTCACTGTACTAGGACCATAAACATCTTAATTTTTTTTTCGCTGATTGCGTTATATTTTTTTATGTTATTATGTAGAAAATTTTTAAAATGTATCGAATTTCTTCATTACATTCACTCATCTTGGTAGTAACAAAAACAAATGAAAATCACATTTTCCCAATTTGGATTTGAAATTATCTTCTTTAAAATTTAAACATTTTAATGATCCCAAAACCAGCCAGTTACAAATGGTATGATTGGCCAAAGAGATTTTATTACACGTTCATACATACAATAAATGCAAAAGACTTTTTCCCCAACCTATAATATTATAATGGTGAATAATTATATCCTACTAATCTGTGTTAATTAAAACCTTATCATAAACGCTAATAGCCTATAATAAACGCTCACCCATCGGTTGACTCGTGTTGTTTGTAGTTTTAGATGAATTTGGTGTGTTTTTGCCAGCAACAGCGTTGCTGGAATGTGAAGACTTGCGGCCAGGCTGTGAAATCATAATTTACATAGGACTATGTTGTTAAAGTTCCTCCAAAATTTTTTCTTTATTCATTAAATTATGTTTATTATAAATATTAAAGCTACTTGATTAAGCATTGAAAACATCTTAGCCACGTTGTAAATATATCATACTTTCTTTCTTGCTTTCTTTCATACAAATTACCTATATGAATTCAAAATATTGTGTGACATTTGCTACTTTTCTATTTATCTGCATCCACTCTCCATAGTAAAATTATGTAAATATCTAATTATAAATTATATTTCTCATCAAATAAAAAAGTATAAAATTAAAGAATTTCAAATTGTATTCGAGCCAAATGACTTTGCTAAAAGTTGGATATTCAACATAGATGATGTGGCCATTTCGTAGATTTGTTTACTTCATGAAATACTCGAGAATTTCGTGGTAACTTTAACTTCGTTTCACTGTCTACTGGCCACATCATGACGTGGCTAGGGCACATCAATGATATGAAATCGTTTCTCGATATGGACAACTAAACGTGCGGCTGATGAAATAACCAAGATTATAAGTTTATCATCATTTCATCATATTTTTTTCAATTAATTCATTCGGTATTAATTTTATTATGAATAAAAGTACCTACTAATATTTCCGTCCAAAAAAGTAATGATGACTATATAATTATTTCGTAAAATACTAACATTAATTACCAGCAGTGGCGCTGCAAGAGCTTTGTTTATTATTTGTGGATATTGCGACTGTTGACGACTATGTTGTTTCTCGCAGTAAAAAAATTGCAGAAGTGCAGGCAAAAAGTGATAACAAAAGAGTTTACGATGAAAAGGTAATTTACAAGTCACGCAAAAACCCAGCATATTTTTGACATATTTTGGATTTTTATTAAATATTTTATGGACTCCCTATTTTACGATCCGGCCAGATGTGAATGACAAAATCGTGAAATGTTGACAAATTAATGATCTGCTCAAATTAAGTGACCGTTGCCCAAATGCGACCATTTCATGAAATTCTCGAGCATTTCGATATGGCCACGACACGTTGATGATCAAGAAAAACGATTAAAAGAAAATTAACCAAAGGTTCGAACCTTTGATCCATTTTCTTAACCATCTACCATAGAAGAATTTGTTGTTCACTTTTTCCTAACTGGTTATGATATAAGATTCATTTTCCATTTTCATAACTGGTTAAATGGAATTTTGGTTTATAAATCGAGAAATAAAACTAAATTATTAGACTACGGACTGGCCTTGGCCTTTTATCGACATATTTTACTAACTGGTTAATATATTTTTTTTCATGTTCGGGGTTGTTTATCTAAACCGATTATGAAAATAGAAAAACTATTTTTATTTCATAAACTGTTAGGGAAAAAGTGAATAAAAAAAAATCTTATCTCGTAGATGGTTAAGAAAATGAACCAAAGGGTTTCGAACATCACAGTAATTTTGATAGTGAGAAGTGACGTACCCCTTTGGACTTGGCCGCGTTAGTGGGCGTGGCGCCGCCAGCCATCGGGGAAGCTTCGCCGTCCTTTTCGCCACTAGAGTCGCTCGAGGGGCTGTCGTGCGACACCGGCTTGTACGGCGGGATTGTCTTCACGTTGCCTCCTTTTTTCTGCACAATCAACGCTTACTGTGCAGCATCGATAATGATGTAACCGCCCGACGAAGAGAAATACGTTGGTCACTTAACCATCTTGCCTTTACTAAGATGTACGTTTCGAGAGGACAACTCGCGTTGTCTTTTTATAAAGATGCACTTATTTTTTTATTATAACTAAATTCAACATGGAAAATTCTAATCTATACCTACAAATAAATAAACCAATTGCAAAATATTTGATGAATAAAAGTTTTTTAAGTAGACTGGAAATGTTGAAAACTCTGATAAAACGTTACTCATTTTCTACTGATTTCTGATTTCGAAATTGGCCGTGAATGAAGCCGGGAATTTTGTTAGTTTTATATCCATATAAAATAGTGTATATGGATACCATATAATAAATAGCAAAATCCATATTACGATAAGATTTCATTATCTACAATGTGTAACTGTTAACTTAAAGTGTGTTATTTTTTGTAATTGTCCAAAAAACATTGATGTATTAAAACAAGTAGTAGACTTACAATCGCGCTCAAAAAGTGTCGAAAGCACACTTACGCACACGCGTCTATTGTGCGTATTTTCAAACAGTCTTGTTTCGTCCGCGCTTTGATTACAAAGCCACGCAATGACAGTGTTCAATTAAAAACTGTACAAATGACACCAGATCCGCACTTAAAAACATGCGAGTGTCGATAAATGAAAAACGCTTAAACGGGTTTAAATGCGTCTTTTTATTACTTTTATGACGTTTCGCATCCTTTTCAGGATGCATCGTCAGAATTATCCTGAAACGGATCAAAACGTCAAAAATCGTAATAGTGTTTCATTTAATGAGTGGTGTGCATGAACAAACCTGTCTCGCACATTAATTCGACGTACGTTGTAAGGGGTGTAAGTAGGGTTACCATCCGTCCGGTTTTGTCCGGACAGGTCCGGACTTTTTGCCTTTTGTCCGGCTTTTTAATTTGTCAGATTTTTTAATTACATGGAATATGAGTAAAACTAAACATTAAGTTATATCAAATAAGTGAAATAATCTTTATTAAGTTCTCATTAATTTAAAACAAAATATAAATTACTAGCAAACCAGTGAACCAAATGTTCACCAAAAAAAAAAACAAAGAAAAAAAAGAAAAAGAAAATTAATTGAGAACTTCGGAGATTTTGTGTGGTTTCCTTTGAAATAGAAATCACGTGATTTCTCGAAAACCGGAAGTGCTACGTTACTCAAATCCGGTTTGTAGTCTTATCAGACTATTCTTAACTTATAACTTAAACATTCTCTTTATCTATCTCTTACGGTTTGGCCGCTGAAACAGCACCACGGACGGACGGACGGACTTGTCTAATAGATAAGAGATTTTTAAAAATCAACAACGAGACCCGCGATGCGAGCGTCTGCTACCACGCGTATAATATCACTGTAACTAAGTGGGTCATGTTTGCATTTTGTAACTAAAATGTCCGGACTTTTATCGTAATGTCCGGCTTTTAGTCACGACTTTTAAAATTTTTAAATAGTAACCCTAAGTGTAAGGGAATTGCAGGCAGCACTAATTCACGACTAGTAACACGTGTTGTCCAAATCAATAGCGGTATGTGTAGGTAATTATTTTTGAGGAAGGCGGGACGAAAGATACTTCTGGCTACTTTATATTTAGTGAGAAATAGCATTTATTTGAATTTAGAATCTTATACCTTCGTATTCATAAGATACGTGTGAATTTACGTTACATATAAAATAATGCTCAGTCCTCCGCTAATTTGCAATGAGAGTATAGAAAACGATCATATCCATTTGTTATATTTATTTTAAAATTTATTGCCTATGATTTTTGTGGTTTAGTTTGTGTTCGGATTAGTATACAGTATACCTACATACAGGAACTACTTGTCATTTTGTTTTTAAATGCTAATCATGTAACTGTTCACGAATAGATAAGTTGAAGAAAATGCTACGAGGAAAGCTAAAATATGCCTGCGATCAAGGGCGTCGCCTAGAGATCAAATGCAGGTAGCCGCAAAGCTACCAAAGTAGTAGTAGAAGTGCGAGCAAAATTGCGAGAAAGATAATAAAAACAACAATTTCGTTTTTCCATATAAACTGTTCTATAATTTATTAGATATTATATTTAAACCTACTTTCATGTAAACATTTGACATTCGTCCCTTCAGTACAGTAGACTCGGGTCCACTCGAAATGAAGCACGTTAAATGAAGCACGTACTTAATTAAGGGTTTTGAATCGACAACATATATCCACATTACTCGGATTATTGGTATTTAAATTTATTTTAGCTCTCATTTCCCCAAATTATTGTAAGCGGTACGAAGTTCGCCGGATAAGCTAGTATCAAAATATTATCACTTGCTTACCAATTTTCCGTAATGATGCTGACAGTAACCGCAGTATTTGACGTTGTCCAAGTAGTTGCCGGCTTCTTCGCACAATAGGCCCAGACTTTGAGCGCAGGTCACGTGGAACTGTTGTTTACATCCTGAATAAAACGATGTTTTTGTAGCAGCCAAATAGTTCTCACATTTGAATTGTCTATTCTATGAGGACTAGGTAACAATTATTAAGAAAATATTTAAAATTTTCTTATAAGTTGAAACGTTCAGTATTGAAAAATAAAGCATTTATGGTAACCTGTTTTGTTGGTTATATGCCACGGAGCGTAGGTTTTAAAAATGTGTTCTTTAATATTTGAAAATAATAAGCTTTACCTTAAATGACTACTAAAGAAATTCTCTGATAGCTCAGGGGTAAGAGAAGTACGGAAAGCTAAAAGTAGTGGGTTCGATTCCCATCTGGCACCCAAGGCTAAAGTGGTTTGCTATGCATTTTATGAAAAAATTAAATTCGTTTAAACTGGTAAAAGCAAATGATTAATCATAAATAATAATTAGTTAAACCTTAATTATTATGAAAATTAAATACCTGATTTATTGCAAGGCATGCAAGCACCAGCAGCGGAGCGATGAGACTTGCCTAAGTCCTGACAAATGTAGCATGTCTGCAAAAACAAATCTAATATACAAACAACACATAAACCTCTGCTTCTTTGTAAAACAAACTCCAAAACTACATTAGTAGCAGCATATTGTAAACAGGTATACCTGTTAATCTCGTGTTAAGTACAACTCAAATATTTGTTTACTTTATTAAGGCTATTATGTGTTATTATAGTTTTCCTAAACAATGATCTTCTCGTTTTGTGTCCACATACGTATTTAGCAGCAGCATAGTCTTCTTCAAAAACTATATTGTGATAAGTATGAGGATATATCGAAATTGAATCGATCATACTTCACGACAATCCTACTACTAATATTATAAATGTGAAAGTTTATATGTTTGTTACTGATTCAAGCAAAAACTACTGAACGGTTTTGGATGAAATTTGGTACGCATATAAATAATGAACTGGATTGAGACATAGGATAAGTACTTTTTATCCCGGATAAAAATGTTTGATTCCTGTGGGATTCTCAAAAAACTAAAGTTAACGCGGACGAAGTCGCGTGCAGTAGCTAGTAGTGCATATATAGCTAACTCACCTTGTTGTACCGTTCGGGTGGAATAAGTCGCAGGACGATAGGTTCCATAGAAGTAACATTTCCGAATCTAACTTCTGGTATGTAGAGAGCGCAAACAACGTGGGCCCAGCCACCAGTGTCTGTACGTTTAAGGGCTCCTGACTTCGACGGGCACAATTCGCATCTCTGGAACATCAATTAAAAAGCTTATCGATACATGGAAGGTGATAATGGAAATAATTTAACGATGCAAATAAAGTAATCAAATTATAAACGGATCTGGAGTATGAAAGATCTACATACCACTTTGCCTTTAGTTTCGGGAGTTTCGCATTTCCTGCAATACCAAGGACCGGTAGGTACTGTGACTATTCCGTAACAAGCTGAAATAAAAATCAGTTTCATGTATAAACTTTTTTTTTGGAGATGTAGATTGCGCTCTATATAATCCATAGAAAAAGCTCCTTTGTTCAAAGGGCTACTATACACTGCAAGAGTATTTTAATGACAAAGAATTAAAATAATGATTTTTAGATTTTTATTGTGATATAATTTATTTAATAATATAATGTGTAATTTATTTAATGCAATTTTTATGACATAGAATTTTATTAATTTTATTGATAAGTAAGATTTTTGAAGAGTTTTAAATTTATATTTATTTATTAAAAAATTTAACAAGCTCTTTAAAGCACATTGCTATGCCCTAGCCGGGTTTGTGTAAGGATCTAAATGAACGCTTTGTAACACCTCTGTACAACTACATGAAAAAGCAATAAATATGATTATGATTAGGAATTGTATACATAGGGAAATTATAAAAAGGAAAATAATTTTTAAAATATTTCATACATTGCTTAGACGCCCCAAGCATTCTATGCATTGCTTAGGTATCGCAGAATACCTGCATTACACAGATTGCCGGTGACATATATATAATAAAACTTATTCTTCCCCAATTTAGCTCACCTTGGTGGACCGCGACAGTGCATCCATTGCCGTCACAGTAGACCAGCGGGTTGTCCGGCCAACCACGCTCGTCGGAGCAAACGCAGCATCCTCCTACCATCTCCTTCATATTGAAATCCGCATTATTAACTCAAATCCTGAAATCATCTCATGCGTGTGTACTATCTATTACCAAATGATAATTGTATGAATATGACTGACTGCATGTGATGAATGTTACAATGCTACATAGCAAATAAAGTTTTTGCCGAAATGCATTTAATATAAGTACTTCAATTTAACGCGATTGGTTATTTGTATACAAAAATTGCATATCAGACAAAATTTAAAGGTACACAGGTCAAATTCGTACAATAATACAATTGTTATGACATGAAATTTTATATCATGTAAGCGTTTATAAAATGTAATTAGGGGTTAAGTCCATTGAAATATTTTTATGTAAGTAAGTATTTAGTATGATTAAGTGTAATTTCACTAACATTTTTTTTGAGTGGGGAGAGTTCTCTATACCATTTCAATGCTGGATAGATACTGTTGTTAAAGCATAAAGAAAAAGATTTTAATTATTATTTCTACATAGTCCATTCCTAGTTATTAATGTTCCTCTCACACGTATTAATCTGTAGAAGCAAATTCTTTCCCATGTGAATATATGTAATACAGGGAGAACAGTCCATAACAGTATCCCTATATGTATTTTGCAAAGAGTATCATAGGCATAGGTTTAGCATACTAACTGTAAATTTTTTGGTAATTTAAGTATGCCATAAAATTGTTATCAAATAGTGGTAAAGAGCCTAAAGAAATATTATAATAAAAATAATCAAGAGTGCTCTTATATACAATGCTAGGTCAATCTAACACTTAGCATACACACCTCTGTTTTGGAAATCTGTCTAAGATACAAATATAATTCATATTTCAAAACACAGATACTTATATTTGTGACAAACAGCAAAGTATTTCTATTTTCAGAATTCAGTATGCGTTGCTCCGTTACTATGATTGACATAGTGTAATTTATTAAAAACGTCACATGAGTTTTGTTTGATTCAAGTGATAGGAAGAAGAAGAAAGCCTCTTTTTAGGTTGTCTCATTCTCCTCATGTTCTTATTGATTATATCATAACTAGCAAACCAGTGAACCAAATGTTCACCAAAACCTGATTCAAAAAAAAATGTATTTAATTAATTGAGAACTTCGGAGATTTTGTGTGGTTTCGTTTGAAATTTGTGATTTCTCGAAAACCGGAAGTGCTACGTTACTCAAATCCGGTTTGTAGTCTTTTCAGACTATTATTAACTTATAACTTAAATATTCTCTTTATCTATCTCTTACGGTTTGGCCGCTGAAACAGCACCACAGACAGACGGACGGGCGGACTTGTCTAATAGATAAGAGATGCTAATAAACAGTTTTCGCTAGTCACGAAACGTACATCGTTTACGTACATTGAGCCCTTTGCTTCTCGCTTGGAAAGATTATGAGAAAGAAAAAAATTGCCAGCTCTTCCCTTTTACAACCGCAGTAGCCGCGGCGAGAGAGCGAGACCAACTGAATGTAAATCGGACAATTGCCTGACTTTCGTATTGCTAAATTAGAAGCGTGTATGACGTATCAATAAATATAAGGCTCATCATACTTGCTAACCATCAAAATTTGATAAAAAGCAACACTTGAAGACACTTTAATCGTTTCTTCAAAACGGTAAATTATCCTGGGGGTCATTCGCCTAACCGGATTGCTATGGAAAACGCTATCGCTTACGATTTCATTTTGTTATTTTTCTGACTGCCGAAGGTTTTCAAATACCTCACGCTCATTTTCTTTAATATTTTTATTACCAATGCAAAAGAAAAAAAAGAGCGCGAGGCATTTGAAAACCTCAGGTGGCTAGAAATAACAAAAAAAAACGTAAGCGATAGCGTTTTCCAAAGCAATCTGGTTAGGCGACTGGCCCCCTGGTGGTTTAACATGCTGAATTTGCAATACTGAAAACTTTTTAAATAATTTGAAATTGAAAGTTAACAAGAAAGTGATGTGTCATAAGATCTTTCAACTGTAGCAAACTGTAGAAAAGGAAGTGTATTTTCTTTAAAGTGTAAACATATTAGTTTTTGCTTGCATATCTACTGCTTTATTGTGATGACAGTAGTTTAGTAGTTGAAAAGTAGGGATATAATTATATTCGAATATCGTTATGTCTTGTTTTATGCTAATCTATGTTGTAACACCCAAATCATAATGGGTGTCACATGTATTCTTTTTAAGATTATCTCGGTTTTCATATCATCATCATCCTATTAATGTCCCCACTACTGGGGCACAGGCCTTTCTTATGGGTGGAATAGGGGTATTGGGCCATGACCCACCACGCAGGCTCAGTGCGGATTGGTGGCTGCTAATGACTGCAGATGCAGCCATGACCAACGGCTCAACGTGCCTTCCGAAGCACGGAGAAGATCGAGAAAGTAAATTTTTGTTCATCCATCTAATGATCGACAACCGCGAAAGTTGCTTAACTTCAGCGATGGCAGCCGAAAGCGCTAACCACCCGCGCCATGAAGCTCCTCACACGTATACTCTCACGCTCAGAGCACCCTTTTCATTTGATTTGGATTTCATATATTTTTAAGGATTTATAGCTAGTAGAAACACTATTATACTAGTTTACAAGCTTTTTTTTGTTTTTGATTGTTAAAGAAGTAAGGTTAAATTTAAATTGTCAAAAAATGTGATTTATGCTGATTTGTTTCTAGGGACTATCTATCTTTGAGCGATCAGGGTGCCTAAACCAGTGTTTGGTGAACTATTTATGTAATTAGAAGTGTAGATTTAGTTTTTAATGTGTGAGTTTTAATTGCACTGTACTGAAACAAAATGATGCCACTTCTTCTCTTTTTTCTATTCAGTGTATAGATCTAAACTAAATCAAGATAAACTAACAAGTTTTTTAGGGATGGGACCATTAAAAGCAAAAAATGTCTCCTTTTTATTAGTTGGAATATCTTGTGATGCATCAGTTTCTCATTAACTTTCAATTTCAAATTATTTAAAAACAAAGCAGTGTTGCAAATTCAGCATGTAAAAACACCACCATGACGATATGTTTTGATGTTATTTTACCCTTTAGAAAAACAATAAATATTGGTTTTGAGTGTTGATTTTTATTAAATTCTGATCATTTTAATAATTGAAGCTATAAATTGAGTAGATATTTACAACTTTAAAAAACTGGCAAATGTCACATGCAAACAGAATGACCCTCACATAAAACAAAGTTTTAATATATCTTCAATTATGTATATAAATATATGATATGAAAACAATTTTCTAAACTGAAGTTATAATAAACCTGGAAGACTCATGTAATCTAAGGAATATCTGTGGATATGGTGTAATGTCTTATTTCTGCAGTAATGATGTCTTACAATAAGTATTATTTATGAAAAGTGGTAAGAGTATTGGTACTGTTGGTTGAAGTACATAGAAACTTACTTATATTAACACACAAACAAAAAAAGTAAACACTTTAATTGCCAAAACTAAAATTGGAGTTTTCTGCTGGTGGCTGACGCAATACTCTTCGGACAAAGAGAAGGAAGAGCCAAATTGATGAGTACTGGGAACACGCAACATCGTGTGATTGGCAATTAACGTGTTAAAAATACATTTTAAAGATAACAATAATTCATAGCAAAGAAAGCGAATAATGAAGATGAATATTATAACTATAATAATAAGAATCATGACAATGAATTTTTTTATCACCAATGGATGGATTCACTTCAAATTGTACAAAGAACTCTTACCAATAACTACTTGATGTACAAGTAGTAAGGTATATAAGTATATAAATATTAGGGTTTAGTATGCATATATACTATAATATTAAAATATAATAAAAGTTCATTAATTTATGAATATACTAAAATATTTAAATGATAATGTAAAACTGAATCTAACAAATATCATTGAATTTACTTGACTATTTCATTTGGAAGACTCTTGAATTAGTACCTATAGCGAATATCATACAGAATAACAAACTAACCTCAAAAGGATACTACAGTATAGCCTATACTATACTATAACATTTCCTTAAAATGTTTTCAATGTTATACTACAAAAGAAAATAACAGTGTGATATGTTTATCAATAATAAATTTTGTAGATTTTGTTGTATTCACGTTATCACACAAGGTTTGTGTGAAACAAAATTTACTTCCTTAGAATATTGAACTGGTGCAGTTAACTTGTAATTGTTTAAAGTATTTTTTTTTAATTCATTTTCATTTGGGTGCTTATATTATTTATATTTTCATTTCATAATAAATAATATTGAATACATGAAATGATTTAAATCTCTGATGTGACCTTGTAAAATTCTACACCATCAATAGATATGCAACAAAAGTTTTGAAAACTATATTAAACCAAGTGATATATAAGTTATATATGAGTCGTATAGTATCAAAGGCGGCAAAGTAGGGCGAACCAAATATTTGGAAAATAAAAAAAATCTGTTTAGTCTCGTCTTTAAGGGAGGATTTTTATAATTGACATTCATCATAACTACAAATCGAAGTGAAATGTCAATATTTTATCCTCCCTTAAAGAAAAGACTAAACAGTTTTTTTTATTTGCCAAATATTTGGTTCGCCCTACTTTGCCGCCTTTGATACTATACGACTCATATAATAGTTAAACATAATGCTGTATTTACAAAGGTAAATAAATTTAACAACTCCACTTAACATTATGTAAAAGAGGAGATTTGTTGGAACGATAACTGATGTGGCCACTGCAGATTCAACACTACTCCATAAAGCCTTGAAATAGTACTCACCAACAGAAACATCATAACACTAAAAGGTAGTTATTTACCAGGTAGTGACTTTTTTATGAGGTTGAGATTAGATCTCCAAACAGAGAAACCTCTGTGCCAATGGAAATAACTTAAAGTATATAATTAATGTAAACAAATTGTTTATAGCTTATACTCATCATTAATTTGTGGTTAGTACTTTAATTTGGTTATCTAATTCAAATGTTTGCCTTTTGTTTTCAATAACACCAGTTATTGAAATAGTTCCGTGTAATAAAAAATCTTAATTCATTGAGTATTTCATTATAGTATAATATCAACAAAAAGCATTTATGTTAAGACTTTGAACAATTTGAAGTGCAGATGGGCAAATGCTGTGAACAACATGATTATGAGATTACAGCTGCCATCTAATTATTGTATATTTACCGAAAGATAATACATCCGTTTATGGTTGGAGATTAGGTTTATCAAAATCTGGAAACAATTTTATTCATTCATTCATCTTTGATTATTGACAAGCTTATCACCTCACCTGCGCCTACGGACAACGACAAAAATGAAGTCAAAACGACACAAGCAATTCTCATGTAAATTTTTTTTGCGAACCGAATCTAAGAATATCCCCAGAATTAAAAGTTGTTTGATACAACAAATTCAAACGCCCCACGCCACTATATTATTTATTCACTTCACAGTCCGGCTGCCATTTACAAACTTTAGCATTTTGTTTTGTTGATGCTTCTTCCATTTACGAAGCTGGCAACGCGCAAAGGTCTGCGCGTAAGTAAAAAGAGATTTTATTAACAAAATTATTAGAAATCCATAATCCAGCTGTTGATTAATTTGTTCTTTAACTTATATATGAATACTTTAGTTTGTATTATTAAATCACAATGGATATGATACTATTAGTTTAGTAAGTTAATTTTAAATCGAAACAGACTTTGTAAATGAGATATGTCCAATGCTACCATGTGTTAATTTTGAATATTTTTTTGTAATTTTGATTTTGAAGGTTGAGTTGTCTGTTGTGTGATGGATAACAAACAGATATATAAATACTTAATAAATTTAGTTTTTTTAATGCATATTATTATATTTTGTATTATATCGACACCCAGCACTTCCATAGCTATTCGTATTTGTTATTTTAACAGCAGATTGTCCGTATCATACTGATGGAGTAGGAAGGAGACCATGAGGAGACAGACTGTTGTCAAGTTTAAATACAAGTCATATATAAAAAGCAAATACGAATAGCCATGTGAAGTGGCGGCATTTAGCACAAGCAAAGAAGCAAACTCGAACACAGTGAGAAAGTCACATGAGAGGCCGTTTGTCTCGTTCTTTCAACATACCATATTCCATGACTTACCCAAACGTACCTGATATTTACACAATTACGCAGGATTGCATACTAATTAAATAAAAAATAAAAAAATTGATCTTGTCTTTAATAAACTAAGTTCATTTTACGTTTACAGTAAAAAAAAAATATTTTTTTAGACTTACTTTAGTTAGTAGGTTATTATAACTGACTTTTCGCTTATTGTGAGCACAAAAGTGTCAAAATGTTACACATAAATATACTTAGCATATAAATAGCCAGGCGATGACACTGCCAAGCACTACGCTGCGTAGCACGGGAGTGCGTGTATGTTGTTACGTAACTATACTTCATTCCAGGTAACGTTGAAAAAGAAGCTCAAAGAAGCAGAGTTTCTAAACCTTGTCATGTCATGTATATTATGATGAAATATGATAATCATATTTGATATTACCCTATAGGTACCTACCTATATGTATTACCAGATACTCGGGAGTGCAATGTTAACTATTTATTTTATATAAATAAATAAATTAATATTAAGTAGAACAGCATCCACAGTTTTTTTTAAATCGTCTGTCACAACCAGATATGAAGCATATGGAAGCATCAGGAACATCAAGGTCGTACGTAATCGACGGTGCAGGCTCGGACTCCAAGTCCCGGCGCACTCCAACGCTGGTGTTCCACAAGGCTGTGTGTATATCAATTATATGATTCAAATTGATTACATCATTGTTATACAAATGACAGCACGGGTGATGCGTTAAATACCAACCGCGCCAACATGAGGGAAAACGTCATCGAGTGCCGGAACAAACATATGCCTGACTAGCCGTGCCCCGCGGTTTCACCCGCGTTTTTCTTGTTTCCGTGGAAATACCGAGATAAAATATTGCCTATATTATAGCCTCCCTCAATAAATGGACTATTGAATATTTAAACAGTTTTCATATCAGATCAGTATTTCTCGAGATTACCGCGTTCATAACAAACAACCAACGCGTGTATTTCCTTAGCAGAGTTATTTTAGAATAGTTATTTATTATACAAGAGTGGAAAGTTCCTTTTTAACCGCGTGCTCGATTTGGATGACCGAGCAAGCGAAGGATTCTAAAGTTGAATCACGAGCGCAGCGAGTGATTCTAAATTAGAATCCTGAGCGTCAGTGAGGGAAACAAACGAGCACAAGGTGAAAAATCTTTCCACTCGAGTGCAATACGTAACTTTTCATCCCACCTCAGCGAGGAAATGACAAAATGAAAAAGAAAACAATTTATAATGACAAAATATTTTTATTTCAATTAAAACACATTAAGATAATCTATAAATTGAAGAAAATAATAAGAAGTAGAAAATAATTAAGAAATATTAAATGTAACGTTGCTACAGTTACTTATGTTAAGTTTAATATTTTTGTTAGGTAATGTTATGTTGGTGTTTGTGAATTGTGCGCTGTTTTGTGGTAAACTACTCGTATCAGTAATTTTAAATAGTTGTGCCGATTCATTGGATTCTATTGGCGTAAATGTTGGCGAGAGAGGGCTATTGTTTCCAATCTTATGGGGGCTCATTTTAGATGTAGAAGGGCGAGACCAAGAATCTGACAGAGGTTCTTTCAGCGTTATGGCCTCCACGATACTATTACAAATTTTTGATTTACTTTGGATTGAATCCTCTATGTATCCCTCTACAACCGAATTAGACTTCCAGCCTCCATGGCGCTTAAGCGATAGAAGATCAGCCCCTGATTCGGCCAAAAGTGTGGCTGAGGTTCTTCTAAAACAGTGACCGGTGTATAACGGGGGTTCTAAAAGTCCGAGAAAAGTTGCTATTTCTCGTGGAATACTGCCAATTTTATTCTGACCCATAGGTTGTCGGATACACTTTCCGTTGCGATATTGTAGAAAAAATCGTTCAATTGGGGTGTTAGAAGGACGTAAAGCTTGATATTTCTGAACAATGTTTACATATTCCTTGCGAATAACGAAGTTGCGGTCTTTTTTTGTCTTGGTATTTAGTACATTAATTAATAGCAATTCATCAGAATTATGAGAATATTTTGATACGTTATTGACATTAAGTAGTGTAAGTTCATTTGTTCGACATGCTCCGGTTATACCAATAATAAGAACAACCTGTAACAAAAGAAGTATTTATAATCGTAAATAAATTAATCAAATTAAAAATATTGTAAGTACTATGTACAATTTTATCAACAACAAAAAATTACACGTATTGACTTACTTTTGCCGCTAAATATACGGAATCAGGTGCTTCATTAATAAACTTTGCAATTTCAGATGCTGTGAAAACCTTCGATTTTTTTGGTTTATAACCAGATGAGGCTCTTTTTAAAAATGCCACTAATTTATGATAGGTGTCGATATGAACGTCTTTCTTCATCTTAATTGTTAATTTTAGCATTGAATACGTACTCCATAGCGTGCTTGCTTTCTTGGTCTCAGATAATTCTATAAAATATGCCAGCAAAACGTTTTCGGAGAAAGTTTTTGCTCCTTTAGCTAGTCGCCACATGTTAAATATATCGTACTGTTTCAAATACTTCTCTCGTGATTGCTGAGGGAGAAGGCTCATTTGCGCATTATTAACTGTTTCAGTTAACTCAGTTGGCGTTAGATAAACTTCATCGTCGCTAATGTCACTCATTTTAGTTGATTTTTTTGTACAGTTTTTAGGTTATGTTAATTATATTAAGCAATAAAACGTGAAAAACTAGAATGGCGCGAAGCACGCAAATAAAACAAAGAAACCAAGAAGGTTCCAAATTTAAATTTTTTCACAATTTAAAAAGTTCTAATCATAAATTTGGCACCATAGAGGTTACATTAAATAGGTTTAATGACGTTTTGAATTTACAATTATATTGAGTACTCATTATATGTGATGTTCTAAATTCAAATCTACTTTGCCGCTCAAGCGAATAAAATAGAATTTTCCAGCCAGATTTCGAAGCGCAAAATTACACTTTCCGAGGTGGTGGGATGAAAATGTATTTATTATACTCTTCAAGGGGTGTAAGGGGTTCTTAATATACCTGCAAGAACCCAAGTCAACCTCACCTTCACGTGGTGCACCCTGTTGACCAACAGACGAGGCTCTGGCAAACCGACCGATGGCGGTATAACCATCCAACGACGTAGGGGAGGAAAATCTCATTGGTGACGGGCAGCAGCGTCATCAGTGAAATAACCTACGTTCTGCGATCGCCAACCCGCCTGCCCAGCGTGGCGATTATGGGCAATACCTTGAATGCACACAAACAAAAAGCCACGGCCCCCAGTTCCCGGTAGCCCCGCTATTCCTGGTCACGGTGGCAACCATGGTAACGGCGGGGCGGGGGGTGCGAAGAATCTCCGGGCTACGGGAGGCCACCACAATAGACTGACCCTGGCGACGTACAACGGACGCACGCTACGGCTTGACTCGCATCTGGCGCAACTCGAGGTGGAACTTGGGAAGATTAGGTGGCACATTTTAGGGTTAAGTGAAGTCCGAAGAGAGGGGGAGGACACCATAACGCTCGAATCGGGCCACCTAATGTACTTCCGCGGGGGAGACCAACAGTCCCAAGGTGGCGTTGGGTTTTTGGTGAATAAGTCCCTTGCCGATAACGTTGTGGAAATGTCCAGCGTGTCGAACAGGGTAGTGTACCTTATTATAAAGCTCACCGAGAGGTATAGCCTCAAGGTGGTGCAAGTGTACGCACCGACCTCGACACACTCGGACGACGAAGTGGAGGATATGTTCGATGATATATCGAGGGCCCTCCACTCCACTACTAAGACCCACTACAACGTTATTATGGGGGACTTCAACGCTAAAGTGGGAGTACAGAATTGCAGCGAATCGGTAGTAGGATCCCATGGATTTGGAAGCAGAAATCATAGGGGGCAAATGCTCGTCAACTTCCTCGAACGGGAGGGGCTCTTCTTGATGAACTCTTTCTTTAAGAAACAGCCCCAAAGGAAGTGGACGTGGCAAAGCCCCGACACTATGACTAAAAATGAGATCGATTTCATCATGACGGACAAGAGGTACATATTCAGAGACGTCTCAGTGATCAACAGGTTCAATACCGGTAGTGATCACTGACTCGTCCGGGGCTCTTTGAATATCAACTTTAAGGCCGAGCGCGTCCGTTTGATGAAATCCAGGCTCCAACCTACTCTGCTCCAATCTATAACAGGGTCTGAAACGTTCCAGTCAAATCTGGAGAGCCGATTTGCTGCCGTGGAAACCACAACAGACGTAAACCAAAACCTCGAAAATGTGGTTCGGATCCTCAGGGAAGAGGGTACGAGATTATGTGCAACGCAGCGTAAGGGCAGGAAGTCAAAGCTTTCGGAAGAGACTTTAGGGCTAATGAAGGAACGACGTGAAAATCCACCCGTCACTTCGTCGGCAAAGCGGACTCTAAACCAAGAGATCAGTAAGCACGTACGACACGACCTCCGGTGCTCCAATACTCTCTCGATCGAGAGAGCGATCGAGCAGAATCGAGGATCCAAAGTGTTCGTACAATCTCTTGGAAGGAGCCATCTGACGAAGTTGACCACAGCAAGTGGGGAAGTTGTTGCTTCAAAGCCGGCAGTCCTTTCGGAAGTGGAAAACTTCTACAGCCAGTTGTACGCATCACATGCATCTCGACCCGATCCCGGAAATGAGGATTCTAGAGCCATATTAACACGCCACTTCACCGAAGACCTGCCAGAAGTCAGTATTGGCGAAATCGAAATTGCTCTTGGACAGC